GTGGGGTGCCAGTGCTTCTAACCCCCGTGTTTTTCAAGGTCAACTGTATTTCCTCATTCTTTTCTTTTCTTTTTGAGACAGAGACAGTGCACACGCAAACAGGGAGAGGAGCAGAGGGAGAGAGAATCTCAGACTCCACCCTGAGCACAGAGCTGGATGTGGGGTTCAATCTCATGACCCTGAGGTCATGACCTGAACGGAAATCAAGAGTCCGACATTTAGCCGATTGAGCCACCCAGGTGCCCCTGTATTTCCTTGTTTTTTCTACCAAAGAACTTTGCTTAGAGGCAAAGCCACCAGTAGCAGTGAGCGTACCTAGCACCTGGTTTTTAAATACAGCAGTCCCCACTTACCCACGGGGATGAGTTCCAGACCTCCAGTGGATGCCTGGCATTGCAGATAGAACGGAGCCATATACATACTGTTTTTTTCCTATACATACATACCTATAATAAAGATTATTTTATGCATTAGGCACAGTAAGAGATGAACAGCAACAACAATAAAATAGAACAATTATAACAACACACTATAATAAAAGTTATGTGACTGTGGTCTCTCAAAGTATCTTATTATATATACTGTATTCACCATTCCCCTTCTGGTGACGATGTGAGATGACAAAATGGCTGCTGGATGAGATGGAGGGACAGGAATGACATAGGCAGTGTGACATAGCGTTAGGCTACTACCGACCCTTTGGCGATCTGTCAGGGGGATCATCTGCTTCTGGACTACAGTTGATTGGGGTAAATGAAGTGGAAAGCAAACGTGGAGAAGGCGGGACTGCTGTACCAATCCCCACTGACAACCACCGGGGCTCCTTGAAAATTACTGATTCCAGCCAGGACTGGAACCAGGGAAAGTACAAGGTGAACCTGGGACAACATTTCTGTACTCCTACATAGATGGCTGGGGACACTACTGTACAGACACACATCTATATACACACACAGGTAAATAATTACGAGATTTAGAAACTGAAGTGGAGTGATTTTCAAGATATCTTGTTAACAAACGCAAGGCACAAAAGACTATAATATGCTACCCTTTTGCATAAGAGAAAAGGTGATTTTTTTTTTCCCAAAAAGACACACAGCAAAGAATGTTTAAACACTAATGTGGATATGTCACAAGGACAAAGGGGCCAGCTTGAATAAGAGCTCGTTTTGAGTATTAAAAATCAATAATGACAGGAATGGATTAAAACACATTTAACAACAAAAAATTCATGAGTCCATACTGAGTCTAAACATATGTAAATGGGGTGGGGAGAGATTTTCTTTACAGAAGAATACCAACTAATAAATGTAGACAGAAAGATAGAAAATCACCATTAAAAAACCACCACAGTAATAAATTGATTCAACCAAGAATCATCTGTGGATGCTAAAACCATCGGGTGAAAGATCACTAAGGAATAGGATGTAAAGACATCTGACTCTACCAGGGCGCCTGGGTGGCTCAGTCAGTCAAGCTTCTGCCTTCAGCTCTGGTCATGCAGCTCTGGTCATGATCTCCAGCTCCTGGGATGGAGCCCCCCTGCTGGCTCCCTGCTCAGTGGGGAGTCTGTTTCTCCCTCTCCGTCTGCCCCTCCCCCATCACTCACGTTCTCTCTCTCTTCTCTCAAATAAATAAATAAATAAAATCTTAAAAAAAAAGGAAATCTGACACTACCTTGAGTAAGTGATCAAATATCACCAGTAAAGGAATGAACTGCCATCAGGCACCTCCTAATGTGATACACTGACAAAGGCACAGTCTCATCTACGTAGTACTCCTGCCAAAAAACTTCACCTGAATAGAATGAAGAAACCATCAGGCAAACCCAAGGTGAAGCACATTCTGGAAAACAACTGGTCCAGACTCCTTTACTATCAGTGTCATAAAAGACACAAAAAACAGCTAAAGAATTCATCTAGATTAAAGAAACTAAAGAGACCTGATAACTAAGTGCAATGCATTATCTCTGATTGGATCCTGGACCTGGAAATAAAAATAATACATGGATAATTGGGGAAATTTTAATATGGTCTGCAGATTTGATAATTGTATTCACTGTCATTTTTCCTGAGTGTGATAATTATATTGCAGTTATGTAGGCAAATGTCCTTGTTCTTAGGGGACACAGTAATTTGTGTCAAGTGTCATCATATCTCCAAGTATCTTTCAAATAATTCAGAGGAAAAGAGGGATGAAGCAGATGTGGCCAAATGTTAAAGATTGGTGAATCTAGCTCTCTCTCTCTCAAATAAATAAATAAAATCTTTTTAAAAATTGGTGTATGGGTGTTTACTGTTCTTGCAATTTCTCTGTAGGGTAGAAAATTTTTCAAAATAAAAGTGTGGGAGGAGTTTACTTCAAAAATATTTCTGCAACTGAAGATTTACTAATGGAAGCCTCTTTATTTCAAACAATTGCCATACATTTAGAAAGATACAAACCAGAATCAAGCAAAAGACAGAAGCCATACACACCAAAAAAAGACTGATAGATGTGACTACGTAAAAATGTAAGTAAAACATCTCTACATCAAAAATGTAGAAATAAAAAATAGTAATAAACTGGAGGAAAATACAGAACAAGAAAAAAAAAGCTACTGTCCTTGCTTTATACACTCCCTCTTATAAATTAGTAAGAAAAAAATAAATATGCTCAAAAGAATGGGTGAATATGCCCAAAAGGTATGAAAAAGTAACACAATAAAGAAAAAAGGTGCAATATCCAATATATATCTTTAGGTGGTCAATCTCCACAGTCATCAAAGGAATTTGAGTTAGGGGCACCTGGGTGGCTCAGTTAGGTGTCTGACTTCAGTTCAGGTCATGATCTCAACTCCTGGGATCAAGCACCTGCCTTGGGCTCTGCGTTCAGCAGGGAGTCTGCTTCTCCCTCTCCCTCGACTCCTCCCTTTCCCCCTACTCCTGCTCTCTCTCTCTCAAAACCATAAATAAAAATCTTTAAAAAAATGATGATGTCAGGCGCCTGGGTGGCTCAGTTGGTTAAGCATCTGCCTTCCACTCAGGTCACAATCCTGGAGTCCCAGGATCAAGTCCCGCGTCGGGGCTCCCTGCTCAGCAGGGAGTCCGCTTCTCCCTCTGACCCTCATCTCTCTCATGATCTCTCTCTCAAATAAATAAATAAATAATCTAAAGAAAAAACGATGTGGATATATTTGTACAGAAATGTGTTCATAATTTTCAATGAAGAGAAGCAAGTTAAAAACAGCATGTCAAATATAGTCCTGTTTTTGTATAAATATATTTACGTATGCATAAAAAACCCTAGAGGGACATTTTCCAAAATTTGTCTAAGTGGTTTTTTGGAAAAAGGTTGTTATGGATACTTTTCTCCTTCTTTTGATTTCTGTATTTTCTTAAGTGTTTACAATAAAAATGTTGCTATTATAATTACAATTTTCCTTAAAAACAGATCTTTTTCAAAAGATCACAGGTTAGGGTGCCTGGGTGGGTCAGTCGGTTAAGTAGCTGCCTTTGGCTCAGGTCACGATCCCAGGGTCCTGGAATCGAGTCCAGTGTCTGCAGGGAGTCTGCTTCTCCCTCTGCTCCTCCCCCCACTCGTTCTCTCAATCTCTCTCAAGCTCTCTCTCTCAAATAAATAAAATCTTTAAAAAAAAATCACAGCTTAACATTCCCTACCATATCCCCTATCCCTGGAATAGTACCTGGCATGTGATAGGTGCATAAAAAATATTTGTTGAACGAATGAGTAAAAGAATCCGACTCAATTCATGGATATGGTTGAAATTTATATTGTGAAATGAAATAAACCATGGGCTTAGAGTCACAAGGCCAGGGTTTGAGTCCTGACTCCTGCTTTAGCCATGTGGCTATGATTACAATCCCTTAATCTCTTAGTTTCAGCTTCCTTATCTGAGATGGGGGACAAAACCTACATCCCTTAGGAGCTCATTATGAGAAATGATATTATAAATGAAATAGTTTGTAAAGTGCATAGGCCTACATGTGTATTAGGTATGATGACTGTACAGTGGAACCTGGAAGTGTGGAGAGGTATCCCACATCAAGGAGGGGTCTAAATATTGTGGGTTTCATTGGAAAAGACTTCTTAGAAGATGTGAGATGTCAAAGGAGACAATGAATGTGGAAAGTATGCCAAAAAGTAGAGATGTGACCAATGAACACCATTTGGAAGGGAAGACAAAGATACACACTGGAAGGAGCAAGGATCCCCTGGCTCGGGGCAGGGGTGGGGGGCTTCCATTGAGTTCTTAGTGCAGGTAAGAAAGCATGGCAGCTGTTGTCTGGTCAAGTCAGGAAGCTTCCTGGAGGAGGTGATCTGAATAATGGATGAGACCACATCTCTCCAGGGCAACCCTTCGGGGCCCTGGTTGCGCCCTGTGGATGGTGGACCGGTGTCAGTGAGAAAACGGAGGACCACAGATGTAAAACCGCTTTCTTTCTTGGGCCACAAAGCACAGATGAACTGACACTCAGATGTCCCAATGCCCACTCTAAACTCTAAACTGAGAAGTGTACCCAAACTGATTATTATTTCTATGATTATTATCAGTGCTTGTACTGATAATGCTTTGCCCAAACATTATCAGTGCTTCCCTAGTGAAATTATAATTGGTGAAAATTATAATTATAATAAATATTATAATAATTGTAATTAGTGAAAATTATAACTATAATACATATTATAATAAATTATAACTAGTGGAATTATGATTTCATTGTATTACAGACGATATCAGTGTAATATTTTCTGCAGTGAATTCAGCATAGTTAACTTGCAAGCATATGCCTTAAAGACTTTTGTATAGTGAGGATGACTATAATATCAACAATGAACCCGTAACAAAGGACAAATGAGTATCTGTCAGATGATTGGCGGCCTGGCCTGTCTTTTGCTCATATTCCTGGATAGAACTGAGCCATTGCTTTGGAAATTTCTGGGAAGACCCAGAAAAATGACAGTTCCCCTGAGTCACTCCACTGCCTCCACCCGCTCACCCCACCGCTCCCGTCTTCCCTCTCACCATCCAGGGTAAAAATGAAGGCCACAGTGTCAATTTCTGTGAGGGATGGCAAGATGGAAGTCAGGAAGCCCTCCTGGGAGAAGAAGAATTGGGGACCCTGGGCACAAGAAGATGGGAGCCACCCCCCCACGAAAAACTCCAGCACATAGACCTGGAGACTGCAGAGGGCCTCACAGGACCTCTCATACAGCATGTTTGTATACAGATGAAAGAACTGAGGTTCAAGGAGGTAAAGTGTTTTGCCCAAGATGATGCAGCAAGTTGAGGGAAGAGCACTGGACCAGAGCCAGCTTTAGAGGGCAAATCCAGAGCCTTCCACCCTCCCTGTGCTGCCCCAAAGCCTCCCGACCTCTAACCCATATTCCCTTCTCTGAACTGTCTGCCCTGTTATACTCCCCCACCTGTCTCTACCTCCCCTTACCTCCCATTCTGCACACCAATCACCGTCACAACCTCCCCCATGTCCTGTCATCCTCCCACCTGGTGGATGAGCTCAGCCTTCTGGTTAAACGTATCACTGTGATCACCAATGAGAAAGCCATGGACATCTCGGAAGTCTGGAAAGTTTAAGGACAGGGAGAAAGGAGTGATGGGCTTTATAGGAAAGAAAGGTTCTAGGCTTGGGGCGATGTTAATGGGACTTGGAGGAAAGTGGCAAGTGGAATGTAGGGTGAGGTGTCACACTCATGGGAGGCCACAGCTACGCAGGGCTGGGAGTTGAGGGACCAAGGCCTGAATCGGGGTTCAAAGGAAGGAGCATTTGACTGAAATGCCTGTTCCGATAGGACAGGATGGACACTGAATGAGGAACCCCCATGGGTTGGGGGCGAGGAAATCGGTTTGCATCAGGAGGAACCAGGAAGAAAGTCTGGACTGGGGTCCCACCAGCACCAAAGGTGTGGATGCACTCCACTCCATCCATGATGGCAATGATGCCGAGGGTCTGCCAGCCAACCAGGTACACTCGGCCTTTTTTCTCCAGGCTGAGAGTGGGCCAGAGGTCAGGACACGAGAAGAGAGATCACAGTGAAGAAAGACGAGGGATCAAAGAAAGATGCACATGGCAGAGCACAGGTGTAAACCAACAGGAAGCCTGCCATGCCCCTCCACCACGCAGACCGCACCCCTCACCCTGTTAATGAGTCTTGTAGGGTCTCCGCTGCTCTCAACACATTCCCCATCCACGCCACCTCCCCCCTCCAAACACATTTCCACACACCTGGTGCTGGCTTGCTTCATCAGGGCAGCGATCTTAGGGCTCTGACTATAGGTCACCTGATGAGCCCGCTCAAATGTCCGCAGGATTTCCAGAAGGCACCTGAGAGAAAGGCCACCGGCTCCCGGGGTGGGCCCAGTGCCCCCCCCCCAGAAAGCATGGGTACCCGCCCCTGCCCAGCGGAAGGCACAATTCCCTTAAAACTAATAAGTTCTGCTGGTCCCTAGTGGAGGTGCAGTGAGTATCATCAGAATGCATTACAGAGAATAGAAAGGGCTTCAGTGAGCAGAACACAAAGAGCAGCCAGAAGGATAAGGACATTAAAAGAGTTGTGGGAGGGGGATGGGATCAGAGTAGATGAGGAGGTAAGTGGGGATTCTGGGAGCCAGGCCAGAGACCCCAGTAAGGGAAGAAGGCCCCCAGCAGAAGGAGCTCTTCCTGCATGACCTGGACCATCCCCAAGTCAAAGACTCTCCGAAACTAGGTTAGCTTTGGATGTCCCAAGTGGGCACAGAGATTAGCGGGACCTGAGGAATCCAGGATCCACTGGAAACAATCGAGACTCTGTGTGGTAAGAACCCTAGGCCAGCTCTTTTCCCATGGGAGGCATGGTGGAGCCTCCGTCTTGCTGCCATTAACCCGTCTCTGCATCTGGACTTGCCATCCCCCAACCTGTACCAACCCCTTCCCTGCCTGACTCTGATCTCTCTCTCGTCCAGATCCTCCCTACCTCTGAGATGCTGCGATGCCACGGTCCACAGTCTTATGGGCTGCCAGTAGCAGGGTTTCCAGCAGGATCTTGGTTGCGCTTCCACCTTTCATCCGGGATGAGCCACTGAGGCCCTTGGGCTGAGAAGGTGATGACACCCAAGAGGAATTGGGAGAGGAAGGAGGATCCTGGAGTTCACTAATTAGTGGCTGCTGGGCATGCACTCTGGTTGGTGGCCCCTGGCATGGAGTCTGGTTAGAGGCCACTGGGGCTGCATTCAGCAGGACTGGGGGTGCCCAGTGCACTATGAGGAGTGCTGGGTTGAGGGCTTCACTGAGAGAAGAAGAGAGAGGGTAAGGGCCGGCTCTGCTCATTTCTATGGTACATTCAGGACTCTGAGGAGGAAGCCACAGTGACTGGGTGTCCTGTTAGCAGGAGATAAGTGTTTTTTGGAGAGGATGTTTTTTTTTTTTTCAAGAAGTTTCTCCCCGCCCAACCCCCCATTTTTTTAATAGCAGTTTGTCAATCCGAACACCACATTTCATGTCCTTTGGACAGACCAATGAAGCAGCCATTGTAATGGACAGGGATGTAACACGACACACCATGCATAAAGAGATGGCTGCAAAAAGAATGATCAAAGTGGTGTCTGAGAAAAGGAGATTAAAAGTAAACAACTGCAAACAGGAAGAGAGATGAGCGCCCAAGAGCTGAAAGATACGGACCTCACACAGGGTAGCTGCCTTCCTACCACACAGAGGGAAGAGCAAGGAGAATGTCTCAGATGCGCCGATCACTGGCAGAGAGGGCCAGCAGCAGGGATTCGGCTCAGGCCCTTGTCAAGTCAAAGTGAGGGTAGACCACGCTCATGCCCTAGTGCCATGCATCCCCACCCTGGAGAAAAAGGCGCAGGAGCACCGGAGGCTTGAAAGGCCCACCCAGTTTTGGAGAGGATTAGAAAAGCAGAAAGATGAAACTGAATCCCATTGTTTTAAAGCCTGCATTTGAAACTAAAACGTAAGAGAAACAGAAAGCAATTCACCATTCCATTCAATACTCTCTATTCACAGATGCACAGATTTCTGGGGGAAATCCACCCCAGATGGGTTAGGTGTTTAATGATTACGGATTTAGGAAACAGGGTCAAGATGGAAATATAACATCTTAAGGTGAACGAGGAAATGGGAAAACAGAATTTGCTTTACTACATTTTAGTTGACACGCAATGCCAGGAATTCAGAGAAGATGTAAAAAAATCAGAGGCATCTGGGAGGTGGCAAGCATTCCCTAGGTGGGAGTGGGGAGGATCCTACCCCAATTGCAGAATTGAGCACAAAAGCTTCTTGTTTCTCTTGCAGTTTCTGCATCCGCTCTGCTATTTGTCAGAATGTGGAACTCCAGTCTTCGATGGGGTCATTTCTAGGGGAGATTGTAAGGATCTAAAGGAAGGAAGGGCCTCAGATGGGAGTCAGGATCAAAGACCGTATTGGGATTGGGGTCTAACGTCAACAATCTCCTAGAGATATGCTTTGGAGCTCATGGGGGCACTGTGTCTCTGAACCCCAAGGATAAGGGCTAGTAATGCATTCAGCAATTTAATCTCAGAGCAAAGCCAACACTCAAGTTTAAAGCTCCAGCCTGAGACCAGAACTTTCTCGTATCCTGGTCCTTGCCCATGTCCCACTGCCACGGCCATACTACCCACAATTCTCTGTAGGTCCCTGGAGGAGTACCTATCATCAGAATGTCAAAACTGCCACTTTATTTTCAGTCTTAAGGTCCATCAGAAGCCCTTTCCATTCCTGGGAATATATTCTGGCCATCTCCCCAAAGAGCAAACCCCTTACTACCTGAGGGAGGGACAACAATTCCTACTGAAGGAACACAACTGCAAGGTATGAAGCATAGCACCTAACAGTTGGCGAACATTTCTTGAATAAATTAATCATGAACAAAACAATGTGCTAAGGGGACAAGATTCAACAGACTTGTTACCTGCTTAGGTGCAACCATGGAATCTCAAAGAATGGGGATCTCTGTACTGTACTCTGTACTCTGTACTCTGCTAGGGGATACTTAGCAAATCACCCACTGCGGCAGGAGCTCAGAGAGTTACCTCTCTATAAGGCCTCCCTAACCTCCTCTTATCATCCCATCCCCGCAAAATGTCTACCCCTTCTTGAACTACTTTTATATTTTTTCATCTGTATTTCCTCGAGGGCAAACAAGTTTCACATATTACATGCCCATCGTGTAAAGTGTTTCTTGTCATTTGTCCTCAAACTACTTCTGAAAGTCCCTAGAGACCTAAGCAGAGCGAGGAGACACTGTTCATTGTGCAGTGGAAAACCGAGACTCCCAAACTTGGCTAGTCATCAAAATCACCTTGGGAGTTTGAGTTGTTGTTGTTTTTTTTTTAAACTACCCATTTCTGGGTACCACGCCCACCCTGAGAATCAACTTCAGGAGTTCTGGAGTGGAGCTCCAAAATCTGTATTTTTAAAATGCTTCCCAGACGACTCTGAAGATTGGCCAAGTTTGGGAGCCACCGATTTAAGGAACAACTGGAAGATCTCCACGCCTACGTTGTTTGAAATCCTTTATTTCTCTTAGTCACAGTGCCTGAAATTAGCATCCACTGCAGCAGATACATTTTTGGTGAAGGAGAGTCCTCCATGAAAAGGAGCAGGGTTAAAAGTATCTCAGACTCATTTATATCTTCACATGAATTACACTACAAGCCTGGAATCTGGGGGTTGAGAAAAAGACCTCAGAAAGCACCCAGCTGCCCCATCCCCCAAGACCACCCCTGAATGTGCCAAGCTGCTCTTGAGAAATCAACAAGCCTTCACTGGAATACTCCAGCGACAGGAAGCCTTTAGCTTCATCAGGAGGCCCACTCCAATGGTTAAGTTAGCAGAGTTCCCCAAACCTGGCTGTGCACCAGCATCTCCAGGGATGTCTTCAAAAAATAGATATTTCAGGGCCTTACCCCAAAGCGACATCAGAGCTCTCGCACAAGGGGCTAAGAATCTACTTTCTTATTGCTTTAACACTTCCTGGGACGCCTGGGTGGCTCAGTCAGTTAAGCATCTGCCTTCGGCTCAGGTCATGATCCCAGGGTCCTGGGATCGAGCCCCGCATCGGGCTCCCTGCTCCGCAGGAAGCCTGCTTCTCCCTCTCCCACTCCCCCCGCTTGTGTTCCCTCTCTCGCTGTCTCTCTCTGTCAAATAAACAAATAAAATCTTTAAAAAAAAAAATCTAAAAAACAAAAACAAAAACCACTCCCAAGGCTGCACATCCACACCTGAGCACTATGGATTTCATACGCTGACCTTCTCTGAGGTCAAAGTGGCCATCTACATAGAGAATAAGGCAGAGGTGATTGGGTGGCACAGTTTTCAGGAAAGGGGAACAGAGGGGACCAAAGGGCTGCCTAGAATGACAAAGGAGAATGGGTGCTAAAATAAGGGAGCTGGGCAAAGGGGAGTCGGGCCACTCAGCACCCACTGCTCCTTTGAAAAGATGCTCATCTTTGTGGTATGCATTTTTCTGACCCTATTCTACCTTCTGGCCCTTGTTTTCCATGTCTCTTCCCTTCCTGTTTTGAATGTATGCTTTTGGTATTTTATGTGGCTTTTGTAAGCTGCCTTCAATCCTTTCGGAAACAAAAGAATAAATCAACCAACCGACCAAAAAAACAAAACAAAAACAACCCACCGAAAACAAAATCCTCATAAGCTTAAGGACAGTCAATATTTACTTTAATATTCTGAGATGTGGTGAATAAGACCATATGCACCGTGTCATCCCCGTTGTGGCTGTACTGTAGATTTTGACAGGTTTCCTCTTGGCCTCCCCCAGGGGTGTGGTCGGTCACTGCCTTTCATTACAGCAGGCTCACCTGGCCATGTTCACGGGGTTGAAACCAACCAGGACTGGCAAAAAGATGGCTGGATTGTCCATGCAGTAATCTATCTGGCCTGCCACAAAGGGAGCCTGATGGTAGGGGGAGAAAAAGGGCATGATGAGAAGGGTTACTCTATTGGTGCCCGAGGCCCAGAGGCATCAGAATCGCCCAAAATGCTTGTTAGAAATGCATATTCCCAGACCCAGGTAAGATCTACTGGATCCACATTTGAAGGGGAAAGCCCCAGGCCTGTATTTTTAACAAGTTTCCCCAAGGAAATCCTCTGCATGGTAAAGTTTAAAAACTACTGAACTAAATTTTATGCTCCTAAGGTCAGTGTCCTGGCCTCCTTGTGTGCCTCCTTCTATGTCTAGCACTGCTGGACTTGTTTCTGCTTAGTGAATTGTTAGAATCAGTATGCTGCAATGGTGAGAGAAAATTGGGGTCACCAAGTCCAGTGCTTGGAATCTTGTTAAAATGCAGATTCAGACTCCGTAGGTTTTGGGGGGGAGCCTGAGATTCTGCATTTCTAGCAAATCCTAAGAGATACTGATGTTACTACGAAAGGACCATGCTTAAGTAGCAAAGGACTGGCCCAGAGATCAGCTTTTTCTGTAAAGAGCAAGAGAGTAAATATTTTAGGTTTTGGGGGCCCTATGAACTCTGTGCAATACGAAACCCTACCATTGTAGCATGAAGCGGCCATGTTATGTAAACACAAACGGCTGTGTCTCAATAAAACTTTATTTACAAAAACAGGCAGTGGCAGGATTGACTTGCCATTGTCGTTTGCTGACGCTGGGACTAGTCCCTCTACCTTGGTTGTTGAATGGATTGATACACAGGTATTCTGAAATAGGATCCTTTCCCTCTCATCCCACAGTCATACAACTGGATCTCAATTAGTGAGAGTAAAATCAAAATTCCTTGTGCAAATCCTTTCTGTTTTCTAGCACCCACTTCATCAATCTATTTTCCATGCTATTCTGTTCCGACCCCCTTCCTCCCTATAAAATGGATCCACCCAGCCTGTCTTCACCCACACTCACAGAGAGTCCCACTGAAATGCCAATGACAGCCCGTATTTTTGCAGGAGGCCGCAGGCGGACCCGCGCCGGAACCATGTTTCGCAACCAGTATGACAACGATGTCACCGTTTGGAGCCCTCAGGGCAGGATTCATCAAATTGAGTATGCAATGGAAGCTGTCAGGCAAGGTTCAGCCACAGTTGGTCTGAAATCAAAAACCCATGCAGTGTTGGTTGCATTGAAGAGAGCACAGTCAGAGCTTGCAGCTCATCAGAAAAAAATTCTCCATGTTGACAACCATATTGGTATCTCAATTGCGGGACTTACTGCTGATGCTAGACTGTTGTGTAATTTTATGCGCCAAGAGTGTTTGGATTCCAGATTTGTATTTGACAGACCTCTTCCTGTGTCTCGTCTTGTATCTCTAATTGGAAGCAAGACCCAGATACCAACACAACGATATGGCCGGAGACCATATGGTGTTGGGCTGCTTATTGCTGGTTATGATGATATGGGCCCTCACATTTTCCAAACCTGTCCATCTGCCAACTATTTTGACTGCAGAGCCATGTCCATTGGAGCCCATTCTCAATCAGCTCGTACTTACTTGGAGAGACATATGTCTGGGTTTATGGAGTGCAATTTGAATGAACTGGTTAAACATGGTCTGCGTGCCTTACGAGAGACACTTCCTGCAGAACAGAACCTAACTACAAAGAATGTTTCCATTGGAATTGTTGGTAAAGACATGGAGTTTACGATTTATGATGATGATGATGTATCTCCATTCCTGGAAGGTCTTGAAGAAAGACCACAGAGAAAGGCACAGCCTGCTCAACCTGCTGATGAACCTGCAGAAAAGACTGATGAACCAATGGAACATTAAGTTACGAGCCAGTCTGTATCTTTATTATCAAATCTGTAAGTATGCAGGAACATGTACTGATGACAATAATCTATGTGTAGGAATCAGTCCAGATGTGTTTTTCCCTAGCAACTTGTCTGAAACCATATAATGGTGTGCATTTTTCTTTAAGAAAGGGTCTATATAATCATTTTCTGGAAAGTATAGGTATCTGTACTGATGTTTTTATATAAAGAACATAGTGTCTTTGTGGGTTTAAAGACAACTGTGAAATAAAATTGTTTCACCTGCCTAAAAAAAAAAAAAAAATGCCAATGACAATCACCCTCTTCTTCCCAGCGGCCACCTAGGAGAAGAGGGTGGGTGAGACAGTGCCACTGGGAGGATTCTAGGATACAAATCTATCGCGTGGGCATGTCAGGGTCAGGACTAGGGGAGGGAATGGGCTTTGGCTGGACGCGGGCTTTTGTGTCCTCATGGGAAGGAACAGACAGAGGTGTCCGGCTATCAGTGGGAAACACAGACCTTCTTCAGTTCCTCAATCCCGTGCAGGGCACCATCTTCTGTCCCCTCCCTAGATGCCACCACAGACCTAAGAAGACAGACTCAAGGTCAGTGGCACTGGTTTGGAAGCAGAAGCCTACGGTATACTAGGGCAGAGAAGAGAATGCTTTGAGAGAAGGGAACGAAGGGAAAGCTATCATTGACTGAACATCTACTATTTGCTAGACACCATGACAGATGCTCTATAGGGCTGACAAACTCCAGTACCTATAAGGCCAATCGGGTAACATGAGTCTGTGAAGTGGGCCAAGTGCAAGGCAATAAGAAATCATGGGGATCAAAGTAAACTGGATAAATCTTCACCTGAAAGCCTTAAAATTACATTTCCAAAAAAACACTGTCCAGACCAAACAAAATATTCATAGGCCAACTTGGCTTACCTGTCACCCCCTGCAATGAGGTAGGTGTAAAGAGGTTTCTGTCCCAGACCTTTCATCAGCTGGTTGAAGGAGACCTGCCGGGGGGAAGGACATGAAGTAGTGACGATAGTGAAGGGAGTGATTACCTTGGATTTTGGACACCTAGAGTGTAGAGGCTTATAAGGATTCCCTCAGGCCAGCGCTTAAGCCAGTACTGCTTGGAATTTGGCACTTCAAATGCTACTTGCAGATGATGGACTGGGGGACTGTAGAGACATGGCAGTAGACGGGTGGGGCTCAGGTGGGGTCTGAAGATATGAGGGCTCCATGGTGAGATCTAGCTTTGGGAAGAGAGGGAGCCAGGCCTCAAGGGGGAACCACCTAGGAACATAGCTATGATGAGCTTTATGGTCCTGAGGGTCACCCTGAGAAGGCAGAGGGAGGAAAATCAGGGATCAGGGTACTCACCGACATGAGAAATGCCATCCTGCCAGAGGTGCCCCCTCCGCTCAGCACCACCAGCCCCCTGTCAGGCTCCTGAGAAAGAAAAACTGCCTATGTCGCCAGGGCTAGCTCAGGTTAGGGGAAGCATATTCTTTCTCTATCAGCAACAGAAGAACAATTGGGGAGACTTCTCAACCCTCCTCTTAGGACAAAAGGGAACAGAACACAGGTGGCATGGTGTCGCAGAAAGAATGAAACTTCAGTCTGACTCCCAGCTCTGGCTTAGCTACTTATTCAAACCCTTACTTATTCCAGAAAGGACTGAGAGCAGCTTTGTCATCAACTAATCAATCAATAAAAAACAGTGCTACCCAGCAATTATTAGCTGGATATATTTGGGCAAGCTACCGTGATTATCCTTTGTTTTCCTATCTGAAAAAAAAATGGAGATGATCACACCAATTTCACAGGTTTTTGCAAAGGTAATGAGTGTGAAAGCACAATGTCAATTATAGAGTATGATGCAGATAATAGTTATTACAATTACTGTTGATTAATAAGATGACAATAAAGATCCCAGAGGGAGGACTAGGAGAAAGGGGACTGGAGATGGAGAAAAATGAGAAGTGGAGGCCAAGAAAAGAGAAAGGTGGAGGGAAGAGAAGTTCAGGAGGGGAGCAAATGGCAAGCCTGTACCTTCAGCACTTCCTGAACTTTGCCAGCCACTTGTACCATGGTGGTCAGAATCAATTCACTATACAGTCGCTGTAGGGAACAGGCAGGAATCAGAAGCCAAGAAAAGGACAGTGGATTTGGGGCAGAGGGGGGGGGTGTTAATGGTGGGGTGGAGGGGCTCTCAGGTCTCAAACATTAAGGACCATGGTCTGAGAGAGCAGAGGTTGAGGTACGGTTGGAGCTGGCATCTTTATTTTCAGTGTCCAGGGAATGGGTCTGGATCACCTGGTATGTGGGCATGACTTGCCCCTCCTCCTGGAAGATCTCAGCATCACATTGTCCCAGCAGTCTAACAATTTGCTCGGCATCTGCTTTGTCCAGGTCCTGGGTCAGTGGGTTTGACTTCTCTGTGATTGGCAGGGCTGCCTCATTCCCAGACAACTAGAGGGAAGGGGGCACAAGGATACAGGCAGGAAGCCAAAGCCTCATTCACGACTGCTGATCTGGAGGTGAGAGTGGCAGCAGGCACAAGGTTTGGATACACACGGACACCACCCAAGGATTTAGCCTGCACTTGGTACTCTGGGCCTAATAGGGGAAGAAGATCAGGAAGGAAGATGGGAAGGAGGGGAGGGAGAGTAGAAACCCAGGGTGGAGGGAAGTCCAGATGAGAAATGATTCTAGGAATCAGTGCAGAAGACCAACATGGAGAAGGGGGGGGGGTCTCACCTCCCACTTGCCAGGCTCTGGGGTCTCAATCACATGTTGAAACCGTTTTGTGCCCGGCATGGTCACACGCTGTGGACATCCTGTCGTGTCTGCCACTTCAGCCAAACAAACCCTTCTGTCACGCTAACTCTGCTTCCAGCTAGCAGGGCCTTATCTGAGCCACAGTGATGATTAACCCAAGTACCCTGGCCTCTCTGTGCACCACCCCCTCTGAGTACCTCTTCATGCACCCTTTCCTGGTCAGTCGGTCCCCAGCCCTCTGGTCACCCAGGGAAGCTCCTGGGGTCCCTCTTTGCATGCATGCAGACTGCCCAGCCTCTGCTTTGCCCCTGAAGGGAAAAACCTGAGGTTCACTACTCTTAACTTTGGACACGATGACCTCTTCTCTGGAGGGCCTGGAGCCTGGAAGTGCAGGACAATACCCAGTCCCAGGACAGTGAGAATCCCTGAGCAAGTGCTCTGGGACCAGGATGCATCAGGAGGCCAGAGATCAGGGTCCTCAGGGACAGCAGAGGTCAGAGGACCTGGGCCATGGCTTGATCATATGCCCAGAACACACAGTCCTCCCTGCCCCTCTTGCTCTATTTCTCTCTTTCATCTCAGAAGGAAGGCAACAGAAGCTTTGGAGCCCCAGGGGGGCACATGCTGAACTGAATATTACAGGAAAAAGTGCCACAGAAATAGAAATGCTGCAATGAGAATTAGAAACCAAAGTATCTGCCCTAAATACAACATTAGCCAACATTTATTTACACCAAACAATGCACTTTTCACATACGGTATCTCATTGGGTACATTAACACTCAGGAGATCATACTGACACCCTCATTTTTCAGATGGTGAAACTGAGGCTCAGAGAAGTTAGGTCACTGCTGAAGATCACACAGTTGACAGAATGGGGACTCAGACCCAGGTTGTTACTCCAGATCTTATGAAATAACTTAAGGATTTATGTTTGTTCAATGAGTGAAGCAACTAACAGATTGGTACAAATTAATGATAATCCCTCACTCACAGAGTGTCATAAGATTTATAAAGACATTCCCCAACATTGTCTCATTGGATCCTGCCAAAAGCCCTATGAGGTTCTGGACGCTCTGATTTTAGGAAACCTGACACTTAGATGACCAATTTCTCCACACCAGGCAGTAAGTGGCAGAGCTAAGACAAGAACCATAGGTCCCTGCTCTTTAGATTTCCCCCTATAAACCCAGCCGTCTTAATCGCTGTATCTCCAGCTCTTCACATGCCCAGACACATAGGTGACGCTCAATAAATATTTGTTTAATAAATTAAAGAATGAATGAAAGCGAAGAGAATCAATATCAGATTATGAATGGGGAAGAGATTTAAAAGCTGACGCAATGTACAAGTAGGAGATTGTTAAAACAATTATCGCCGCCGCTCTGTCCCCTCCCGCAGGGGGGGTTGGAATTCCTCCTCCCAACTTGGCGAATTCCACCCGGGGAGTGGGGGGGGGCGCTCCCAGGTGCCCGAGACCCTCGCACCTGCGCCTCTCCCCACGCCCCCGCAGGCTCTTTGGACCCAGCCGGGATCAGAGGCAAGGAGACCCGGGAGGCCGCCAATGGGAGGGTCGTGGGAGGAGCCCCGGGAGAACCGGGTCGGGTCGGGGCGGGGGGGGGGCGGTGAGGGGGATGACGGCGGCGAGAACCCCAGCGGGGCGGGGCAGGCCGGCACGTCCCGGTCGGGCTGCGGCTGAGCGAGCCGGGCCAGCTCTGCAGAAGGCGGCGGCTGGCTGGCCGGGACGGTCACATCCCGCTGCAGGGACCGGCGGAGCAGCCGCACTGCCTTCCGCACCGGGACTCAGGCCAGCGGCCAGGCCGCGCCGGCACCGCCCCCTGCTCAGGGACAGACTGCGCGGCCCGTCCGAGCTCTGGGGGCCCCCCGCAGCCCCGCGGCCCGCTCCCGCTACGCCTCCGCCTGCCCTCTGCCCGCAGCTCGGTCCCGCGCTGCCCGCCGCGCCGGGCCTGCGCCGGGATGGGGTAGGGGCAGCGCCACGGAGTCGGGCGATGGGCCGCCCTCTGGGCACCGTGCAGCCCCCCGAGGCCTGACCGACCGCGAGGACCGGCGGAGGTGGGTGTGGGCCGGGCAGAGCCGCGCACTGGGGACGCCCGGGTGATGCGGGGGCGGGGAAGGCGTGGGGAGAAGGGGGGCTCCGGGGCTGCTGTGGCTGGTGGGGAGCCCGGGAGAGCTGCTGCCACCCGTGCGTTCTGGGCAGTACTTGACCCCCACCCCCACCCCCACCCCCCACAACTCCTGCTACCTCCAGGAGCCCCGCCTGGATGTTAAGCGGAAGCCCCAGTGCCTCCCAGCGGACTCGGTGGGGACCATGGCTTCGCTGATGCCCCTATCCCCATATTTAAGCCCCACGGTCCTCCTGCTGGTCAGTTGTGACCTGGGCTTTGTGCGAGCAGGTGAGTAAAGGGGTAGTGGGGTTAACCAGAGCTAGTCCGTGGATGGAACCTGTTAACCTGTTCACTCTGGCACCCACAGACCGGCCTCCCTCTCCTGTGAATGTGACAGTCACTCACCTCAGAGCCAACTCGGCCACTGTGTCCTGGGACGTCCCAGAAGGCAACATCGTCATTGGCTACTCCATTTCCCAGCAAGTATGAATCACCCTTCTGTTCCCTCAACCTGTGTCCTTGGATCTCTGAACATTCCTTCAGTTACCCCCCACCCCAGACCTAAGCTCCCCTCCCAGTGGTGGGGGAGTTTGGGAGCTGGTGTTCCCTGGCTCAAGCTGCCCTTTTCATCCTACTCCGTGGAGTGCTTGGAGGTTCAAGAGTCCTGGGACTGGTGTGAGACTGCCTTCCTGTCCCATCATCTCCCCACAGCGACAGAATGGCCCTGGGCAGCGTGTGATCCGGGAGGTGAACACCACCACGCGGGCCTGTGCCCTCTGGGGCCTGGCCGAAGACAGCGACTACACAGTGCAGGTCAGGAGCATCGGCCTTCGGGGAGAGAGCCCCCCAGGGCCTCGGGTGCACTTCCGAACTCTCAAGGGTTCTGACCGGCTACCCTCAAACAGCTCAAGCCCAGGTGAGGGTCTCAGCTATTCTCCACTCCCGAAAGTTTGGATTCTCTGGCTTTTCACCTGGCCTTTAGCCTCTTGTTTACTTCTGACAAACAAGCCACAGTCTAGCTCAGATGAATAAAAGGATGATTTAATCCATCATACTGCCAAGAAACGAAGGAAAAAGGTTGGCAGGGGACTGGGTATAAACAGGCTGATAATGAATCGTTTGGGAGAAGGGCTTTTAAGCTTCCTTTTACCCACCCTCAGTTCCCAGCCGCAGCAGCCTGCGTGAATACTCGCCCGCAGCCTTCCTGCTTTTTGGTCTCTAACTACCCGTCCACCAACAGCTTCCTAGAGAAGGGCTTCCAGGGGCAACCCTGGCCCCAGACTCTCCATCCTTACCTGTCTGCATAGAAGAGCTTTGTGGCCGCTCCCCATAACCTGGGGTCTATCTCCTCCTTCTCAGGTGACATCACAGTGGAGGGTCTGGATGGAGAGCGACCACTGCAGACGGGGGAAGTGGTCATCATTGTGGTGGTGTTGCTCATGTGGGCCGGTGAGTGAGCAGCTGGATGGGGGACCGAGGTTTGGGGGAGCAGGGCTCAGTGAAGGTGGGAGATGCTGAAGGTTGTCGGAAGAAAAGGCAGGGAGGGAAATGGAGCAGGGAGATGCTTAGTGGAGTGGGGTGAGCAGAAGTTTGAGGAGAGGAAGGTTAGGAGGGTGATGCTCACACATGAACACCAGGAATTCAAGGGTTTTCTCAGATTTTCTAGAAACTGTGTGGGTATCTCACTGCCCTTCAAGGCTGTGAGTGGGGAGGTCAAGATCAAGGTGCAGATTGTATTGTTGTGTTTCAGCTGTAATTGGGCTATTCTGCCGTCAGTATGATATCATCAAGGACAACGACTCCAACAACAACCCCAAGGAGAAGGGGAAGGGGCCGGAACAGAGTCCTCAGGGAAGGCCAGTAGGGACAAGACAGGTGATGTGGGGTCAGTGAGGGAGGGAATGGTGATTTTGCTTCTAGGAGCAGTCAGGGAAGGGGAGAAGGCCAAAGAGGGGCAGGAAATGAGGGAAAATGGATATTTGGGATGGAGGAGGCTCTTACCTTCCTGAAATTAGAGACTCAAGCCATTTTCTTTTACAGAAAAAGTCATCATCCATCAACACCATCGATGTATGAGTGAAGAAACAGAACGAGAAAACAGATGCACTAACACCCTGGGGATGGGGATAGGGTCAGGGAGTGCCTCAGATGGTGATCTGCCCAGGACTGAAGGATCCCACAGTTTCCTAGAGGGTAATGACACTCCCACAATCTCAGGCCTGGTACCCGTCCTCTTTCCACTGTGAGCAGGGCCAGAAGGTAGGTCTCCTAGGGTCTGTGCCCCTGGACCTGGGGAATGGCTATCAGATAGGATATGTCCTTCCATCCCCCAGGTCCAGGGGAGAGTCACTTGTTCAACCGTATCCCACTAGGTCTCAAATGGGGCCCCCATTCCACCTGCATCAGGACTCTTGGCATCCCCAGCTGCCCCCACATCTTGCCTCTGGGTCTCAGAGAGGGGTGTTTCTTTGGCTACTTCCCCTCCCCCCAGCAATTAAAAGGAATTGTCTGGGTCTGGAGGCAGATGCTGCACTGCACTACTCCAGTGTCTTCCATGGAGCCTCAGGTGCTCCCCCTCTCACCTGGTAGCCCCTCCAGCTGCTGGTGATCTCACCCCTTGGACATTTTTCCAATAAAGGTTCTTGGACAAACTGAAGCTGACTGTATGGTATACTATATAGTATGCTGAAGACATTTCCCCACTGTCTGTCCTCTGACAAGGGTCTCTCACACCACCACCAACTCGACAGGAGCACTCTCATTATTTTAAGGTGTTTGTTTTAATTCTCTAGCCTAGAATGGGTGGGGAGAGGCCAGAAATGAGTGTAGAAAACTCGAGCCCTAGTTCCTTTTGTTTTGTTCAGTGAGAAGGGGGAGAAGGAAAAGAAGGAGGGATATAAATTCCCTTGCAGCAGTGGAAACGAAGATTATACCACATGGGAGGGGCCGGTAACCTTTTTATGTTCACTGCCCACATTGACACCCAAGCTCTTCACCATTTATTTCTCTGACTCCTCCATCAACCTGAGTTAATTTCCAGAAAAGGACTGAACAGTGTCTTGGGACAAATGCAAGAGCACTACACTAATGGATCCTTCAGTGCCATGTGCTCCTATCCTGAGCATTCCCGTACCTAGTCTTCCCTGCCCTTGCTTTTCCTTTTGTCTCTGTCTCTGTCTCTGTTCATTCGGTCCAAGCCAATAATAACTGTAAGGTGTAAATGAGTTTATATTCACTCTCTGCCACTATATCCAGAGGAGGATTATGGAAATAAAACTGAGGGGTTGGAACTCCCCTGTCAAAAGACATACTTTGGGCTCTGGGGCTACTTGTTTGCTGTGAAAATAGAGGCTTTCCTCTACTCTTTCCTAAATTCCAAGGTGGGGGGTGTGATGGTGCGGGTGAGAGAAATACCTGCTGACATTTGCAACCACTGTGGGGGAAAAGCTGTAGAACCCTAACTCTGTCTGGACAGCATATGCTACACTTTCTGGAGAATTATAGGTCTTCTCAACTTTGGATCTTTCCAGAGGAGGTGTACGAATAACTCTCCTTTTCTCCATCTCAGTCTCTCTGGTATGTTACAAGAATTTAGACCAATAATTCTGAAAGGGACCCCAATCCAAACAGATCAAGAAGTCAGTATCCTTGCTACTTAACCAAGCTCCAACCCCAGGTATCACAAGACTTAACCCTACCCTATCAGGTGAGCCAAGCTCCAGTTTGCCCTTTGCCCTGAACCATAAAAGCATCCCGATCTGGGCAGCAATCTTTAACCCACTGCTACCCAATTCGGAAGTAGTACCTCTCACTGGCCACTGGTTCCGAAACACTCATCTCTGACTCTGGACACTTCAGTTCTTGGGATGGAAGTGGCATGGAGTATAGAAGCATGGCATGGAGATCGGGAGCTAAGAGTTCAGAACGAATATAAAGGCTGTTTAAACGCACCAGCTCTGGGTTGAATCCCATTTACATCCTTTACTGACTATTAGTTTGGGTAAGTGACCCTTCTAATCCTGAGTCTTCTGGTATGTAAAATGGGACTAATAATGCCATCCCTTTCAAAAGGTGTCTCTGAGATTAAATGAAATAATGCATATACGACCCTTTGCACAGTACCTGGCAGACGCATACTGAGTATTCAGTTAGCTATCATTATTAGCCTTGTGATCCCGTGCAAATCATATAACCTCTCTGGGTTCAATTCCGTCCGCGGCAAAACGTATGAAAGCAACTGCCCTGCTTTCCTCCAGGGTTGTGAGGATTAAAAGAACGCATTCAGCCACACAGCCACATTTCACTCGCCTCAGGGCGCGAGAAAGACCGCGATTACGTACGACCTCGAGTTTGCGGAGGGCTTGTGGGCGTGGCTCGAGCTTGGGTTTGCAGACAACGACAGGATTGGTTGAGGAAAGGATTCCAGTCCTCTCGGGGTCCCGCCCCAGACCTCACTGCGCCTGCGCACGTCCTGTTTGCTTCGCAGCGAAGCTTACGTGATGACCTTGCGAAGTGTGTTGCGCTCTGGTCGCGTCTGCGTCAGCGGCAGTCGCTGCGGCTGCGTGGCGGGTTGTCCAGGTAACCACGGGAGTTGTCGCTGCCTGGTGGCATCTGAGAGACAGGTGTTCGTCATGCAGTTGAAGCACCTGAGAACCCTGCTGAGCCCTCAGGTGAGGAGTTGCGTGCCTCTTCCCAACCCCGCCCGCCTTAACGTTCCAAGAAAAGTGGGGGAACTGAAATTTCATGATGTTGAGCGCCTCCTGTTATGCGGAAGACTGAAGGTTCTAGAGATGGTGGGACTGTGCTCGGTCTATAATGTGCAGTAGTTGAGACCGACCGCTAACCGCGGTAGCTTTCATTCCGTCTCATTTAACATCAGTTGTGTACGAGGCCCCGTGCTGGGCGCACATGTAAACGAACCTAAGTCTGCACCCAAATAAACAAGCGCTTTAGGTGCAAGCCCCAAAGAGGGAGTGCAGAAGACCTCACGTTCGTTCTAATGATGAAGATCGCAGATTCAGAAGAGGCTGGACACTGGGGGAGGAACCATGCTAAAGAAAGGCTGGGTTTTGGAGCTCGGAGACCAGCATTCCAAGTCCTAGTGCCAGCTCTACTTTAAGTAAATGATCCAATACCGCTGATTGTAGCCCTTGTCACACAGTCTCTCTGAGCGCTCACCCAACCGCTTCATTTGGAAAATGGGAGTAACAATAATAACAACCTGAGGGGTGTCTAACAATAATAGCAACCTGAGGGGGTCTGGAGGAAGAGTTAAAGGAAGTCATGTACACAAAGGCCATTGCAAACTGAAAAGCAGCGTAAAAACTGATAGACAAGAGAGGAGAACACTCAAAATTCAAAGGACAAACTCATACAAAGCTAATGACAATATCTGCCATAGTGAATGTTTCATACGTAGTAAAGCAGCATAAGTTAAGTAGTTAGGATTGTAGTTTGTGGAGTCAGACATATGTGGATTTAAATCTTGGTTCTGCCACTTATAAACTGTGTTTGTAAACTTGAGCAAATTAACTTTTCTGAACCTCAGGTTCCCCATTTGTAAAATATGCATAATAATGGCATCTGTCTCTGCGTTATGAAGTAAAAGGAGAATGCATATCGAGCACTTATCAAAATGCCTAGTCTATGGTAAGATCTTGTTAAAGTTTAGCTTTTGTTATTCTATTCCCTACCCCATTTAATCCTCACGACAGTGCTGTGAGGAATCAGGAAGGCTTCACAGAGGATGTGGCATTAGGAGAATAGAGGGAAATTAGAACAAAAGAGAGATGTGCTCATTGCCCCCGAAACTGTATTTTAAAATTCCTTTACCCTAATGGAATAATTGGAAATGAAAACCTCCTTCAGTCTTTGAAAATAAGATGTCATAATGCAGGGAAGGGCGAACGCCCAGGATTGGCAAAATGATGAAGGAAGATGATGAGCAATGGTTATTGAAGGAGCCCTCAGCCCTTCGAACCTAATTTAATCAAGAGTTGTAGGGTGGTAAAGGTGGTGGTATGGCTATTTTCTGACTCTGAGGATTTTGATGATAAAAAAGAGGGCTTTTTTTTTTTTTTTTTTAAACTTCTGACTTTGGAGGTAGGTGGGTTAGGAGTGAAAAGTAACAAAGTTTGAAACCAGAGCTCTAGAGCCCAAGTAATTAATCACACAATTGGAGCAGAAGCTAAATGTTTTATCTCAAGGAGGGAAGTCTTTAGTGCAGAACCATTGAGGACCAGGGCTGGTGGTGGACAGATGTGGAAAGAATAATTCATTGGGAGACAATCACTTCTAAATTGGGCTTCTGAGCAGTGCATAGTTTTGGGGGGAAAAAAATAAAAAAACTATCCAGGTGGCATTTTCATCCTAAGTCTCAACTCTGATTGTCTTACTCCCCATTCTGGAACTTTCACTGTCTCTCCCTTTCCTACCAAATAATCCCAAACTCCTTGGCCAAATTTCACAGATCTTTCTTGAGCTGGCCTCACTTTTTCCTGCCTTACCTCTTCTGTTCTGTTTGCAAGATAGTTTCAGTTAAATTAAATCACTGTTTCTTGACCAGACGTGCCTTTGCTCCTGTAATTCCTTCTACCTCGGATAATTCCCCCCATTTAACTGCATCCATTCTTCAAAGCTTAAAGTTGATGAGTTAAACATAAAATTATCTCGGGCTTCTCCAAACTGTTATCGTGCTTTGTATGTGCCTTTCTAATGGGATTTTTCCTGTTTTCGTACCATCATATTAGCCTGGGGCAGGGACCATATTTCTCTCTTTGTCTCCCTCTCAGCCCTTGGCCATGTGCCTTTCTCAATAAGGTATTCAAAAAATATTGAATGAATGGCTAAAGACCAAAACCTATTTTAAAAAAACTTATCAGACCAATTGAATTTATTTCAGTCGCAGTCCTGGGATATGAGGGAGCAAGGCCATTGCAGGGGCACATTGGTACAGTTGATTCAGCATGTCACCTCTTAGTGTATTTGCATTATGGGTTTCTAAAGCACCTTATTCTCCTGATCCAGGGTTTTATAGGCTTGGAGACCAGGATACATCACAGGCATCTCTTTGTTTTAAGGACTATCATGGGGGAAATTGACCAAAGTCACACTAGAACTAAAGGAACTAGGAATGCTTTTGTCATTCTAGACAAACACCTGGGTTTATTTTTGCCCCCGCTGCCTCTGCAGGATGGAGCTGCAAAGGTGACCTGCATGGCTTGGTCCCAGAACAATGCCAAATTTGCTGTCTGCACAGTGGACCGAGTGGTGTTGCTATACGATGAGCATGGGGAGCGGAGAGATAAATTCTCCACCAAACCAGCTGACATGAAGGTGAAGAGAGTACTCTGTGTGTACTTAATCTGTTGATGGGACCTCACGAATCTGGAAAACTTCCTAACCAACTTCCCCAGCCAACGGCATAGGAAATGGCCTGGCCCTTCTTTTCTCAGGATAAATCCCTCAAGCCCATTACAGTCACACATACACCTTTTCTTCTCTTCTCTCTTTCATGTGTACTCATTACCTCTTTTTCTTTTCTTTCTTTTAACTCCTAGTATGGCAGGAAGAGCTATATGGTGAAAGGCATGGCTTTTTCTCCTGATTCCACTAAAATTGCCATAGGACAGACCGACAACATCATCTACGTGTACAAGATTGGAGAAGATTGGTGAGGATAGAGACTGGGAGATGGGGTGACCTGGAAAAGAAGGGGAAGGCAGGAAGAAATGCCTCCCTAGGAAAGGGGTAGTAGAGAAGATGATGGTCCAGGCTGGGACATGGAAAGCAAAGGCCTTCCAGAGTCAGATGCTGCTTCCCTACCTTTGCCTGCCCCATGTGCTCTGAGATACCATCCCTGGTGGAATCAGCCTAAGGTCAACATGAGACCCTTTGAGGTTCTGGGGAGCCCTTGGTGATACAGCCTCTTTGTTACTGTTCCAAAGCTGTTTAGGCTCTGTTTTATGCCTCTTTTCAGGGCTCCTGTGGAATGGTAGGAAACACTAGAGGGGGCAGGGAAGGTATCTGTTCTTTCTTCCCTTCCCCCAGCATCATGTGTGACAATTTGTTTCTGAAAGTGTTTTTAATATGCTTTCCCTCCTTTTATTTGGCAGGGGTGACAAGAAAGTCATCTGTAACAAATTCATCCAGACGGTAAACTTCAGACCTGTCCCTGGGAGATTAGGATGAACAAACATGTATCAATATATCTACTTATAAATGTAACCAGGAGTTGCATTTTTTAACATGTGAATCTGACCTTTCCAGCTGCAAAGATGGTACTGCCTTGCTGCTCATCCTCATCTGCTTTCTTCCTTGAGCCCAGTCATGTCCTCTCCTCTGCTATAGGCGACTGGGGTGGTGGCCTGTGGCGGGGGGTTCAGTTTGTTATAAATGTGCTAGGCTACATGGACAGGGTTATCCTTTTCATGATTTCCTCTTTACAGAGTGCTGTCACGTGTCTGCAGTGGCCAGCAGAGTACATCATTGTCTTTGGACTGGCTGAAGGGAAGGTAAAGGAGGAAGAGAAACACAGGAGAGCTTTTGGGTGGGGGTAATGGTTCTGGAGAGAGAAATATGGTTAAACTTCTCCCTTAGGGTCAAATTGTATGTTAGGGGAGAAAACAGAAGGACCAGTTTTTTGTATTTCTTTTTCCTTAGGATCTGGGTGGGATTGAAAGTAGCTTAACCAGATTTGTATCCATTTTCCCATTTTCAGGTTCGTTTAGCAAACACTAAAACTAATAAATCATCTACCGTCTATGGGACAGATTCTTATGTGGTATCACTGACGACAAAGTGAGTAAGGAAGAGCATATCCCAGGAGCTTAGAAATGTAGGAAGGAAGCGATGGGAATGTCGGGACTGGGAGACCAGAATATGGAAGATGGGGAGGACTGGTAGCGAGGAGCCCAGGTAGGGTAACGTTTGACAGAGAAGGGGGATTTCTTGGTGAGACAGAATAATCTCTTTCCTCCTCTCCCCCTTCCCCTTTTATAGTTGCTCTGGGAAAGGAATTCTCTCTGGTCATGCAGATGGTACCATTGTTAGGTATTTCTTTGATGATGAAGGCTCTGGAGAGTCACAGGTATGACTAAAGGATGCTGTGGGATGGGGGTAAGGAAACCCAAAATCCCTCCTAGAGGAGGTTGAACGTTAAGATTGAGGTGCTGGGGGAAGCGGCTAAAGGAGAGAGAGAGAGAGAGAGAGAGGCACATTTGGATGCAGCCACAGAGAGAATTTGTATTAAGGCCAGAGCTTAATATTTGTGGGCAAAGGGAAATCAAGTGGAAAGGATTCTGAGAGTAAGGGAAAGTGAAAATTATTCTCATCTATGGAAAAAGTATATTTATATGTATAAATTTATGGGAAAAAAAGTCATTTGCTCTCGAGAGGGAAAAGGGAAAAAGATGGGAGATAAAAGCAATGTTCATGTTTTACTTTGTATAATTCTCTATCGTTTGAATAACTTACATTAAGAATTACTTGTATAGGGGCACTTGGCTGGCTCAGTTAGTGGAGCATGTGACTCTTGATCTCAGGGTTATGACTTCGAGCCCCACGCTGAGTGCAGAGATTACTTAAATAACTAAAACTTTAAAAAAAGAATTACTCATGTAATAATTAAATTTATTTACCCTAAAAAGAAAGAGTCATATGCTCCCTGTGGGCCTACCCAGGGTTAGTTAATGTGTAGTAGTATTAAAGAACTCCAACATAAAAGTATTTTGAGGTTTCCTCTTGAGCACAATGTCAGTAAGTGTGTACGTATGTGATACATACGTGTGTGAGAGTATAAAACAGAAAGACAGTTTGTGCAGTCCTCCAGATTAGGATGTGTTGGGGTGGGAAGACGTTGGGAGGACGATTTATACAGAGTGGGATGGTCAGAGTGAGTGTGTCAGGGGCTAGAAAGGAGAAGTTCCCGGCTGGAGGTGTCAGAGTCCGAGTGATTGAAAGCCTCTCTTCTGTCTTAGGGGAAGTTGGTTAACCACCCATGCCCACCCTATGCCTTGGCTTGGGCAACCAACAGCATTGTGGCTGCAGGCTGTGATCGGAGAATTGTGGCCTATGGAAAGGAAGGCCATGTGCTACAAACTTTTGATTACAGCCGTGACCCTCAGGAGCGGGAGTTCACCACAGCTGCTGCAAGTCCCGGGGGCCAGTCTGTTGTGTTGGGAAGTTATGACAGGTGGGTCCCTCTCCACGTGCATCTTCTGCCTACTTTCCCTGTGTACACTCTGCCGTAGCCCAGTTCATCTCAAGCAGAGTGGGAGACTGGATGAGAAGCAAGTATATGTTGAAAGAGGTCCTCGGGTTTTAATTCACGCACTTCCCTCTTCCTGCTCCCACCATCCGTTGGCACTCTGGCAGTTCCAGAATGCACCAGGATTTTGTGTCTCCGTGCCTCTCCCTGGGACTCCGCAGTGGAATTCGTCTCCACTCTCTTTGTATTACCATCGCCTCTTTTCAGACCACTGGCTCAGGGTTTGTCACATTATATTACACTTTGGTATTTATAGCTACCTGGCTAAATTGAAACGCCCTTGAGAAAGAGGGCCTATTCATTTTTTTTTAGTCTCCAGTGCCTAAAGTAGCATGTAGTACATCCTGTACGCTTGAACGTTTGGTGAAGGAAGGAATGAGTGGAGCGATGGGTGGGTGACGGACAGTAAACAAACAGCTAGGACCTGGGCCCCCACCTGGGCCTTGTCCACCCTGTCCTTGTACCCCCTTCACTCTCGTGTGCGTCTCTTCCTTCCTTTTCCTCTGGTTCCTACCATTTCTCTTTTCTTTTTCCTTATTTCTCTATTGCTAATAGCTCATTTTTCTCACCAGTCATGATCTCTTTTTATTTTCTCCACTCCCATCACTCTCACCCCATTTTACTTTTGGCTTGATTTTTCCAACTTCCTTCCTCTGAATCTTTTTGTCCCCTCCTATGAGATTCCCTAGGTTGTGTGTTCTCTTTTACTTCCTTTCTTCTATAACACAGCAAAACTCATTGCCTTCAATTCCCCACCCATTTCCACTCTTTTGCTCAGCCTCCATCGCTTCTAAAAGCCACCTACTTAATTAATTTCAGACTTAGGGTGCTCAACTGGAGCCCTCGAAGAAGCATCTGGGAAGAGGCAAAGCCCAAGGAGATTGCCAACTTATACACCGTCACTGCCTTGGCCTGGAAACGGGATGGCTCACGACTCTGTGCGGTGTGTTTTACTAGTAATCCCTTTCTGCATGGGTGACTTTCTCCAAACTAGGAAAAATCCAGACTTATCCTAAAGCACTGTCCCCTGAAACTAGAGAATCTCTTCCCTTTTGACTGCAACCTAAAAATAGGATGTTAAAGGCAGGAAAGAGAAATTTGCACTTTATTGGAAGACAAAAGAGACAAAGAATTCTGTAGGCAGGGCTGATTTCTCCCTTTCATCCCATCATCATCCTTGCGTCCTGTGATTGCCATCTCTTTCCATCTGGTACTTCCCAAAACTGCCAGCCCTTTTACTGCCAACCCTTCTCTAGATTCTAGAACCGAGGTTTTGAGGGCTTCTCTAGATATCCTCCCCGTGCCTGTTACCTTTTATGCTGTCACTTTCCCTTCTAGGGCACACTCTGTGGTGGAGTGGAACAGTTTGACTGCTGCCTCCGGAGGAGCATTTACAAGAATAAGTTTGAGTTGACGTATGTGGGACCTAGCCAGGTAAGCAGCTGATAGCCTGCTGCACCAAGATCTTGCCAGCGCTCATTCATCCTTGTGATGCTTTCCTACCTTCTGGACACAGCCACAGTGTCAAATTTAACCCCTGGCAGCACTGTTCTGGAGAACAGAGTGTATTGGGCAACTCTTTGGCAACTTTCCTGCTGTAGCATTTCCAGCTTATTGTAAGAAAAAATTTAAATGCCAGACTTAAGGGGTACAGAGATCGCCGCTTACAACGTCCTGGTTTAAAACTTCATTACCTGGGGCGCCTAGGTGGCTCAGTCAGTTAAGCGCTGGACTCTTGATTTCAGCTCAGGTCATGATCAGGCTTGTGAGATGAAGCCCCATGTCGGGCTTTGCACTGGGTGTGGAACCTGCTTAAGCTACTCTCTCTCCCTCCCCCTCTGCCCTAACCCCTAGCCCCATCCCTCTCTAAAAAAAAAACAAAAACAAAAAAACCCAAAAAAACAAAAACAAAGCAAAACAGAAAAAACTTTACTACCTGTATGCTGTCAACTGGGGAGTTTCGGATTACGCGGGTGCATAACATTGCTTTAGGGCCTCTGAAATCACTGTGTATGACATTGCAAGGTAATTTCTTAGTTCCTGAGCCCACTTTTCTCTTTTATCTATCTCTGTCCTCTTTCCCTTCCATTTATTTATTATTCATTGGTCCCTTCATTCTTTTTGTCTTTTTTTCAAATTTTGTTTACTTATTTGAGAGAGAGAGCACAGGTGCAGGAGCGGGGGGAGGGGCAGAGGGAGAGGGAGTAGCGGGCTCCCTGCTCCCGACATACTCATAAGTGGGGCTCCCAGGACCCCAAGATCATGACCTGAACCGAAGGCAGATGCTGAACCAACTGAACCACCTAGGTGCCCCCTCTTTTTTTTAAGATTTTATTTTTAAGTAATCTCTACACCCAGCATGGGGCTCAAACCCACAACTGAGATCAAGAGTTGCATGCTCCTCTGACTGAGCCAGCCAGGCACCCCATTCTTTCGTTTTCTGTCCATTCTCTATGCATGAGCACTGTTAGGTATTGAGAATACAGAGATAATTACCTGTTTTATACGGTCCCTTAATCAAGATCATTCTAGCTAAGGAGATGGGTATATGAAATGACGGTATAGTACACCATGGTTAAAGTCATCACAAAGATTTTCACAAGAGATACAGGAATGTAAAGAAAGTGGTTTTACTTCGTATGTATTATGTATTATGAGCATTGAAAGAGATCATCTTTGAAAGCATTTCATAAATAGTAAAGCACTACGTGAATATGGGGTGTCATTTTTACCAACAATAGCCTAGGCTAGGTGAGGAAACAAGATACTAGCTTTGTTTAACACTGTGGAGGTGGGCAGGGGGCACGGCATGTTCACCCCTCTTTTGGGTTGGGGAAAGCCTCGGGGAGCTCAGACTTGTACCTTATCAAGGTGATTGTGAAGAACCTGTCGTCGGGGACCCGAGTGGTACTCAAGTCACACTATGGCTATGAGGTGGAAGAGGTGAAAATCCTGGGAAAGGAACGTTACCTGGTGGCCCACACATCAGACACGCTGCTGCTGGGGGACCTGAACACTAATCGCCTTAGTGAGGTGGGAACCACAAATGGAGGGGCGGGGAGTGGAGCATCTTGTGTTGCTACTTCAGGGGAGCCAGGGTCCCTAGGGGGGAGATCTCTGAGGAAAGCTCTAACATGCTGGTGTTCTGGTGTTGGGGAGTTGGTGGACCTGGGAGTGAGACCCCAGAGGTTTAGAATCCTGGAATGTGAACCCCCACTGTTGGACTGTTTTTACACCATCTCTCAGAAACCTAGAAACCTAGGGCAGAATCTGACATAGCACCTCTTTTGTGCAACATCAAGGCCTTCCTAAAGTCCATCTCTCTGCCTCCTACCCTGTCTCTTTCAGCGTTGTCTTGGAGACTTATCCACATTGTTCCTTATGTCTTCTCCCTCCTTTACAGGTAGCTTGGCAGGGATCTGGTGGCAATGAGAAGTATTTCTTTGAAAATGAAAATGTGAGTAGAGCTTGATTAACCATCACCGTCTCAATAAATCTCCTTCTAGCTGCTATGTTGGAAGGATGGCAAGTGGCAAGGGGTTGAGGAGAGAGCAGATAAAGAAGGGAGAGTGAGATAGGCACAGGAACAGAGTAAAGAGAAAAGTGGGAGTCACTTTGCACTGACAGGACACTTCCATCTACTACTGTTGGTCTCTTTCTTCATGCAAACTTCCCACCACGTGACAGTTCCATTCATCCCCAGGTGTGCATGATCTTCAATGCTGGAGAGCTAACCCTGGTGGAATATGGGAGTAATGATACCCTGGGTTCTGTACGTACTGAATTCATGAACCCCCACCTCATCAGGTAACCCAACAAGGTTCTCTAAATTTTTGAAACCCAAAAGAATTCCTTTTTAACTTCTAACTCCTGTATCCTCAAGATTAATCTAAAAACCTCATCCCCTATGGTACTTCGGGGCCCTTGATAAACATCTCAGTGGCCCAAGCCCATTCTGCCTTACCTCACCCTTCATGTTTCAGTGTCCGTATTAATGAGAGGCGTCAACGAGGAATGGAAGACAATAAGAAATTGGCTTATCTTGTTGATATTAAGACAATTGCCATAGGTGAGTAAGACTCTCTCATAATTCTGATAACAAAACAGATGTTTATAGTACGCTTCGATATCACAGGATTGTGTACGGTGGAGAATCCAGGAATCTGAGAGGCACCAGGTAAATTGTGACCCTGCTCTTACAGAGGATATGTGAAGTGTTCAGATCCATGTGTGCGAGTCTGTATCTGGCTCTATAGATACAGATACACTGTTACATATATCGGCCTGTCCATATAATTATCTGTGTTCTCTGGGCATGTATCTTAGGGCTGGAAATTGTGAATTGTAGAGAGGAACCATTAGTAAAGTTATGAATTTTCCTGTTTAGACTTAATAGGATAATGGACTGTTTGAACCGAAAGGGGACTTATTTTCTGTAGAGTTTGTCATTAGTAGCCACTGATGACAAACTTTATTTGAATTTCACAAGTGTTCACATAAATAAATCTTATTTTATATATTAATAGTTAACTCTGTATCATGAAATGTTTCAAGCAGAGAAAAATGTATGTAGAATAGCATAGTATTCCCTACAAAGTATAGAGAATAGTGTATTTGTATAGTGTACTTGTTAAGAGCAGGGATCTGGAGTCAAGCCTCCTGACTTCTGTAATTATACCCGTGTGATCTTAGGTAAGTTTCTTAACTTTTCTGTATCTCAATTTCCTCATCCACAAAATGGGGATAAAAATAGCACCTACCTTATATGGAAAGCACTTAGACTAATGTCTGGCACATAATAAGCACTTAATAAACGTTAGCTATTAATACTATTATTAGTTGTATATTCATACCTAGTTCTATCATGTCCTGACCTTTCATTATATTTACTTTGGATCTTTTATCTCTCCTCTTACTGAGGGACATTTAAGTTGTTGGTTTTTCAGTTTCCAGTGTTTCGGTTCTCTAAGTTTTACACCTAGAGTGGAACTGCTGAATCATAGAAGAGGTAAATCTGCAATTTCACTAAATATTTCCAAATTGCTCTCCAAAGAGATTGTACCAATTTACATTCCCACCAGCAGTTGGAGGGCCCAGTGTTCTGCATCCTCTCCAATACTTGAAATTGCTTGACTTCATAATTTGGCTCACTCTGACGTATGGGAAATAATATCTCATCATATTAGTTTTTGTTTGCTCATTTGTTTATTGGCCGCTTGGATTTCTTCTGCTGCTTATTGCCAGTTCTTATCCCTTGCCTGTTTTTAAAACCAGGCTGTCTTTTCCTTATTGACTTGAAGGAGTTCTATGTATGTGTGTTTCTAGCCTTTGATGGTCATTTGTACTGAGGATGTTTTGTCAGCCTCTTTTAGTGTTCAGACATTTTTAATTTTAATTTTAATGTAGTTCATTTAATCACAGTTTGTGATTTTTGAGGTCTCATTTAAAAAGTTTCCCTGGGGCACCTGGCTGGCTCAGTCAGAGGAGCATGCGACTCTTGATCTCAGGGTCGTGAGTTTGAGCCCCAAGTTGGGTGCAGAGATTACTTAAATAAATAAAACTTTAAAAAAAGAAAAAGTTTCCTACTCCCTCCTATATCTTAATATTTTTAAAGTTTGCTTTTTATCTGGAATTTTTGTGCATAATGTGGGTATGGATCATATTTAATTTTTTCCATATTTAACAATTTTTTGGAAATCCATTCTGTGCTCACTAATTTGTAATGTCACCTCTTATAAATCAAGTTTCCAAATACATATGGGTCTATTCTTAGGATACTTTTATATTTCATGAATTTTATATTTCATATCAGATTGTTGAGCTCAGAAATGTAAGTGTTTGTAATGGAAATAATATAGTCTGGTGGCCCGTGTTCCAGTGACAATAATGAGCTGTGAGACTTTGGACAAGTCACCACACTCCATAGGGCTCATCTTCAATAGTATATAAAATGACAGAGTTCTTCTCTTAACCTTTTTTGATTACTGGCCCCTTTGAGTATCTAATTAAAATCATAGATCATATCCCAGAAGAAAATACATAAACATATAATTTTGTATATAATTTCAGGGTGTTCACAGAAATAGGGTCCCCACAGTTCTAGTATTCTATGATTCTACTTATAAATTGGGACATTAAAACATGGCTTTATCATTTTGCTTTTTAATTAAAGGAAATTTCATTTTTAAGTTGGTCTTCCCAGTTGTAGACATTAGCTGGTGTTTGGTCTTTAGCTTCAGCATGTATGACAAAGGTAGGACATTGCGCATTGGTAACGTATACAAATGAGAGTTGTGAAGGGGCTGTGTTCAAGAGACTCCCTGAAAGCATCCCTAGCCAATCCTAAGTGGTCTAAGTGTGAGCATATCTTACATTGTCAACAAAATTCACACCAACCTGAAATATCCTTAGCACACTCAGTCTAACTCTAGTCAGAGGTTCCTCCTCTTTGGTCTGTGTGCTTTCTCCACTGTTTGCCCCTTGGTGCTCTGACGTCATAGGCACTCAAAGTGCAGGTACTCCTTGGAGCAGATATGTTCATCAAGGTCATTTCATCCATCAGCTTTCTCTCAGGGGTGTGCTGGAATTGGGGCTCTTCCTTAAAGTGCTCAGTGCTGCCTTCCAGAGGATTTCGTGAGTAACGGAAGCCAGTTGCTCTGATCTGTTCTGACCTGCTATGAGACAACCCCAAGAGTCCCAGAGAGGAATCACATTTCCTGATGGACCTAGACCTTTTGAGTTAACTAGAGAGTTAAACAAAACCTCTACAGTTCTAGTACAAATCTAGTATTGTAAGCATCTTAGAAAAATTATGTCGTATTCCTCATACTCTAGACTGATGGCAACATTCTTAAAGCTCAACATATGATTGAAGGCAAGACTTGGGCAGCCAGCCTCGTGCCCTATATATGATTATGTGGAATCTGTCGCCTTAACCCTGTCTCTTTTACTTTGTAGTGGATCTGATTGGTGGCTACAACATTGGCACCATCAGCCACGAGAGCCGTGTGGATTGGCTGGAACTTAATGAAACTGGGCACAAGCTTCTATTCAGGGACCGGAAACTTCGTGTAAGGCCTTAGCCATTGAGTAGTCCATAGAGGATGTGGTACTTAGTACCTGCTACCAGAGATGGCGGGGGAGGGCAGGATGGGACATAATTGCTTGGTGCGCTATACCATTAACACAGCAAAAGGCACAGAAGAATCAACATTGTGTCTGCTGTCATAGCCCATCCTATATTACTTCTAAGGAGATGGTATCATGATGGCACCAAAGTCAAGAGGGGAATTTTACTATTCACAAGTCTCTTCCCTCGTGAAACTGCCTCACCCCCCACATGCCTAGCTGGCCTTGACCCACACCTGTTCCAGTGTTTCTCAGCTACACTTACCTGACAGCACTAAAGCTGGCTTAAGGACAGTCTCCCCCAAGCCCCTTACTGACTCTGACCTTAATATGGTATCACCAAAGAGCTCAGCCTCAAGGGCAAAGAGACTATCTGGTGATTTTTATTTCATTTTCACTGCGCGAATTTCCAGACCATTTAATGTGCCTGGTGGCCTTACTTTTGTAATCCAGTCTGGTAGCTCTGGCCCAGAGTTACTCTAAGGATGAAAGTCTGACCTTCACCTAACTTAAATTTCTGGGTGTAGCTCTTTGCTCACTTGGTCATCTCTTACTGGCCAGAGTCAGGATATACCAAGTCAACATAAACTTCAAGTGTTGATGGTTAGTAAGCTTTGAAATTCAGCATCTGCCTGACTGGTGGGTCAGTTGGCCCCATTTCACCATTAAAGAAATGGTCAAGATCGGAGGACACCCCATAGCCCCTTCTAATTGTGCTGTCTTCCTCTTCTTACTTCAGTTACATCTGTACGATATTGAAAGCTGCACTAAGACAATGATCCTCAACTTCTGCTCCTACGTGCAGTGGGTCCCAGGAAGTGATGTGCTCGTAGCTCAGAACCGAAACAGCTTGTGTGTGTGGTACAACATTGAGGCACCTGAGAGGGTCACCACGTCCTCTATTAGGGTACGTCGACACCAGTGTGCCTCAGCCATAGTGGCAAACTGATCAGTCAGGGCCCTGAGGAAGCTCCAAAGGTTATTTGGTTTTCTCTGGCCCACCACCTATCATGTCTGTGATAGAGTCGGCAAAATAAAGCTTCGATCCTTCCCCACAGTCGGCTAGGTCCCAGAACCATCCTTGTTCAGATTCCTGACACTACATTAGGTCCTTGGAACGTGCCTCTCTGTTACAGTGGCCCTGGGAATTCACCAGGTCATAGTGAGTTCTCTTAAGCTGGAAGAGCACCCCTAGGAGGGGCAGTTCTGTGTCAGTTCCTGTGTGCGGATTCTCTGTTGTCAGCCATTCAGAGCTCCTTTTTTATCAGACTGAAAATCAGCCACTCTCCTATCCTGCCAGCATCACGTACATTCCAGTGATCTTCCAGACTCTGGGAGGAACCCGTCCAAACGAGAGGCCCCTGTGCTAGGGTAGGATGACTGGTGTGGGTATAGGGAGAGCACATGGTAGTTTCTTTTTGTCCTTTTTCTATGTCTCTTCTTTTTCCTCCTCTCTTACCTCATTTTAGACTAATTAAGTTTGGGTTTGGGGGTTGTTTTGTCCTTTTTTTAAAACACCATTTTTCACTTTTTTGCTTTGGAGGTTATACATTTGATTCCTATAGTGATTACCCTCAGAAGTTTACCATTTCCTTAAATTAATAGTCTCAAGTTATTTAGCATCAGACCCCCTGGCAAATGATACAAGGACCTTAACTCTGATTACCTCCCCTCTGCCATTATTGTCCAGTGTTTTGTTATCCCCAAAGTAAGACATTAGTCTTATACACAGCCAGAACTTGTTTACATTTCCCATCATGGTGCCATTTTCTCTGTTCACTTTTTCTTTTTGCATTGTTGATCTTCCCTCTGGAGTTATTTTTCTTCTCCTTGAGAGAAAGTGTTTTGAAGATAAATGCTCAGTTTCTGAAAATTACTGAAATGGAATTATCTGAAAATGTTTTTATTTGGCCTGTTCTTGAAAGATACTTGGACTCCATTCCCAATTCTAGATTGACGGTTTTTCTTAGCCTTTCGCAAATACTGTCCCATTGACTGACTTCTTTAGTTCTGAGTTTATTAACAGCCCCTTCTGTTGTCTTGTTGCTTTTTTTTTTTAAGATTTTATTTATTTGAGAGAGAGCGCAGGAGCAGGGGGAGGGGCAGAGGGAGAAGCAGACTCCCCACTGAGCAGGGAGGGGATATGGGGCTCAATCCCATAACTCCAGGATCATGACCAGAGCCTAAGGCAGACACTTACCCAACTGAGCCACCCAGGTGCCCCTGTCTTGTTGCTTTTCTTTTCTTTTATTTTTTTGTCTTGTTGCTTTTAAAGTCTTCTTTTTCGGGCGCCTGGGTGGCTCAGTTGGTTAAGCGACTGCCTTCGGCTCAGGTCATGATCCTGGAGTCCCAGGATCGAGTCCCGCATCCGGCTCCCTCCTCAGCGGGGAGTCTGCTTCTCCCTCCGACCCTCTTCCCTCTCGTGCTCTCTCTCATTCTCTCTCTCTCAAATAAATAAAATCTTTAAAAAAAAAAAAAGTCTTTTTCTTCGGCGTTCTGAAGCTTCACTACAATATGTCTGCATATAAATGTCCTTTTACTTACCGTGCTTGGTGTATATGCGTATGCCTGTGTGTGTGTGTGTGTGTTGCACATCTGCCAGGACATGTCATTCCTCAGCCATGAGCTCTTCAAATCTTGCTGCTTCTCTGGAACACTCTAGTCTCACCCTCAGAATTCTAATTAGGCATGTGTTCTATTTCTTGTCCTCTGTGCCTCTGTAGCCTCTTATTCTTCCTTTCTCCTTGCTCCATGCTCCATTCAGGGTAATTCCTTAAGAAACATCTTGCAAGTCAGGGGTTCACTTTCACCATTGTCTCATCTGCTATTGAAACCACCCACTGAGGTTTTTTTACTTCAGATATTGAATTTTTCATATAATTTTATTTGGTTCTTTCTCCAGTCTGCCTGGTCATTTTTGCTAGTAAATGTGCTGCTGAAGTGAGTACAACCTGGCTATCTTTGATAGTCTCTTGTCCCTTGCTTAATTTTTCACTCCATCTTTTAGGTCTTTAAACATTTTACACTTATTTTATATTCCATAACTTTCATAACGGTTATTTTTAATATTGGAAATTCTTGGAGGTCCAAAAGTGCTGTAGTTATTATTTACTCCTTTATGGTGGTTAACTTATATTTTGGTACTTTTTTTAATTGGGGCTCATGTTACATTGAATACAATCTTTTAGAATCTCAAGGGCCTAACATGGGCATGTTTTCCTCCAGAGATGATTAGTGTTTGCTTCTGCAGGAATCAAGCATATTAATGACTTTTGTTCCCTTTCCTAAAGAGAGGATCCCAGATTTCATGACTGACGGATTCTCAGATTCGCCCCCTCATCCTGCTGGAGGATCCCTGGTTTGTTCGCCCACTACTGTGTTTGCCATCAGGGCAACTGTACCCTTTCCACTTGCTCTCCTGTTTTTTTCCTGCTCAGGTTTTAGCTTCCTTCCTTCCTTCCTTCCAGTGGGAGACTAGGAAGTATGCCTAGTGATTTCTTCAGGTGAACTCAGCAACGAATGCATTAAAAAGTACGTCCCAGGTTGAAGTTGTACTGTAACAGGAGGACTCAAGCAGGAAGCAGAAGTGGATGCACACGTTGTCACTTTACCTCCAGGCATCAGTGTGGGCCCAGCTCTGAGTGTACTTTAACCCGAGGGCATTAGCATAGCTAAGGAATTCATACCTGCTTGAAAGAAACTAAATATTAGACAACCAAGGGCCACTGTAATTCCCCCGTGTGTGAGCGCTAGGGTTGGGTAAGGGTGGGTCCGTTCTGCGATGGAGTCAATGGAAACACTAACCTGGATTTCGGGGGGTGGGGATTGAAATTTTACAGGGCGATGTGGTAGGTCTGGAGCGGGGCGGGGGGAAGACCGAGGTGATGGTGACCGAAGGTGTGACTACGGTTGCCTACACGCTGGACGAGGGCCTGATCGAGTTTGGAACAGCCATTGATGACGGCAACTACAGCCGGTGAGGGGCTGGGCTGATACTCCGTGAGGTGGTGGGAGAGTCCGGTTCTGAGGCGGGAGGACCTGGGATGGGCCGGACAACTGGCCACGTCATCCCCGGCTGCATCACCAGTATTCTTCCGTGTCCTGCTGACCCTAGACTCCTGCTTTCCTTCCTTCTCTCTTCAGGGCCACAGCCTTCTTGGAGACTCTGGAAATGACCCCAGAAACAGAGGCAATGTGGAAAACCTTGAGCAAACTGGCGCTCGAGGCACGGCAGCTCCACATCGCCGAGAGGTGAGGCAGACCAGAACTGAGGTGCCGGGCAGCTAGGAAGGACAGCCACTCCTCCCAGTGCTAAGGCACTGCTCCCCTCCCGTGCCAACAAATGTCTCTGAACCCTTCCAAACATTCTTCCATCCCAGGTTATAAGAGTTCTCTTGTTTTTGCTTCCCCTTCTTGTAGGTAGGTGCCCCTTCAGAGTTTTAACACCCATACCCTCCAAGTCGTGTGTTGATGCGTATTTCCGAATGTGGTAAAGGAGTGTAGTTAGTAGGACAAACTTGGGACTCCAGACTCTCTGAGTTATCTTGGCTCCATTTACCAGCTTGTATAACCGCAGGTTAAGTGAACCTTTCCAAGCCTTGGGGTTTCTCAATTTCCTTTCTGTAAAGTGGGAGTAATAATAGAATTTACCTCCTAGGGCGGTCAAGAGGAACCATGGGAGCAGTGAAGAAAGTGGGAGATTCTAAGTGCTCAGTAAACGTCAACCGCTGCTGTTTTGCCAGGAGTCCTCTTGGCTCCCTCCTTTCCCATGCCCCCAGAGCTAGATGACCCGCTCGTCCTAGGGCCCTGACCCAGCGTCTTCAGCACATGTCCTGAAGCTCTTACTGTCCAGCTCTACTGTCTCCACCCTAGAACAGACCACACCTCTACCTGCAGTGTCCCAGAAGCCTCTTAGTCTCACTCATACTGTTCTTACACACCTACCATCCATTCATCCCATAATGGCTGAGATCATTTTTTAAACCATAAATTAGATTATGTCACTTTTTTGCTCAGAACCTTCCAGTAGCTTACTCTTCTACTTCGTATAAGATCCATAGTCCTTGCCGTGTCCTAAGGCCCTACAATATTTGGCCTCTGCTTCCTTCATATACCAGGTACCTACTTGCCTGTTAGTCTCCAGCCACACTGGCATCCTTTGGGCCCTTTGAGCATCTCAAACTCACTCCTGCCATGGCACCTTACACGCACTATTCCCTCTGCCTGGAATAATTTTTTCCCATCTTGTGGGACTGACTTTTTCTTGTATTTAGGTCTTGGCTCAAATGTCAGTTCCTCAGATAGGCCTTCTCTGACTACCAACTTAACTAATCCCCTCCATTACTGTCTGTATGTACTATCACACTATTTTATTTTACTTTTCATTCTCTGAAATATCTTTGTTTGCTTACTCATTATTTGTTTCCACTAGAAAGTAAGTTCCCTGAGAGCAAGGCCGTCATCTGTCTTATCCCCTTGTGTCTCTAGTGGCAAAAACAACGCGTGGCACGTAACCGATGCTCAGTATATATCTGCCGAGCCAATGAATTCATGATGATCCTATAGTAATACTGCTGTTACTATGATTGCTTCCATACTGCAGGTGCTTTTCTGCTTTGGGCCATGTAGCAAAAGCTCGATTCCTGCATGAAACCAATGAGATTGCAGATCAAGTGTCTCGGGAATATGCAAGTATTATCCTCCTGAATTATTCAGTCTCTCAAGCGGAGATTTCTCTTCATGCTCCGTCCCATGATCCCTGGCTCTCCAGCCATGGCTCCTGTGCTCTGTTCTGCCCACCCCACCTCCATCCTCAAGTCAGACCACTCTGGAATTGCTTGCCAGACCTCATCCTCTAAGCCCCATGGAGGTTTTCAGCTTTCCAATCTTTTAGCTTCCTCATCTCTGTGGCCTTCCTGTCTAAGCTCACACAGACAGAATGGCTCCTGCAGCACCGACAGAATAACGAGAACCTTCTTCTTCCCCACAGGGTGGAGAAGGAACAGACTTTTACCAGGTCCGAGCACGCCTAGCCATGCTGGAGAAGAACTACAAGCTGGCTGAAATGATCTTCTTGGAACAGGTGATGGGAGCAGAGGGACCAGACTGAAGAGGGGAGCAGGGTGGGAGGGGCAGTGAGGCAAACTGAGGGGAGGAAAGAGCACTGGGAGAGAGCTTTTGGAAAGGTTTATGCAGTTAACAGCACTCCTTACTTCCCCTTCTGCATTAGTCCTTACGGTTATGTCCTTTCATAATTATCTGCTGCCTCCCCCTGTACTCCCGCCTGTCCTGGCACTTCTTGCGCACACAGGCAGATCCAGGTTTGTGGGGCCTGAAGCTTATTCAATTTGAGGAGCCCTCTTTAAGAAAAAATGCCTTGGAAGGGGCCTCTGCAGATAAGGTGCCCTGAGGCTTAAACTGCTTCTACTTTCATAATAAATCCACCACTGCTTGTGTATAAATAAAGGGTGAGGCTTTCAGGCCACATGGGCTGGCGTTGTAGCGAGGCTGAGGGCAGCCTGCTGATTCCTGATCCTCCTGTATCTTCTCGGTGTCCCTCTTTCCCCTGCCCGGGTTCCCCTAGAATGCCGTTGAGGAGGCCATGGACATGTACCAGGAGCTGCACCGTTGGGATGAGTGTATCGCAGTGGCTCAGGCCAAGGTACTACCAGTTCTGTCTTCTCCACGGTGCTCACAGCTCAGTTCCACCAATATCAGAAGCCGCCTCTTACCAAGGAGGCTATAGGAACTGGAACAGGGTTGGGGCTGGGAGTTAGGACGTTGGTGACTGGGAGGCTTTTCATTGTTACAGTGGGATTGGAGAAGCTTGGGAAGCAGCAGGGCAGGAAGGAGGGATGTGACTTCTCTTGCGTCTATTGCGTGTCCAGGGGCACCCGGCCCTGGAGAAGCTGCGCCGGGGTTACTACCAGTGGCTGATGGACACACAGCAAGAGGAGCGAGCCGGTGAACTACAGGAGAGCCAGGGGGATGGCCTAGCAGCCATCAGCCTCTACCTCAAAGCTGGGCTCCCTGCCAAAGCTGCTCGACTGGTGCTGGCCCAGGAGGAACTGCTGGCCAACACCGAGCTGGTAGAACACATCACTGCAGCCCTTATCAAGGGGGAGCTGTACGAAAGGGTAGGGCTGGCTTCTCACTCCTGTCCCTCATCTCCAGGACTCAGTGCCCCCTCCTACCCAGAGGAGGCCTGGAGTGCATCCCCCCCCCCCCCCCCCCCCCCCCCCCCCCCCCGGGGGGGGCGGGGGGGCCCCCCCCCCCCCCCCCGCCCCGCCGCCAAGGACTGGTGGCTGAGTCTCCTCCTTTGGGGGCTGATCCTTGATTCTTCGTGCAGTAGGGCTATCGTTGTAGTCATGTGGTATGTGTCAACAGGCAGGTGATCTCTTTGAGAAGATTCGAAACCCACAGCGGGCCCTGGAGTGCTACTGTAAAGGCAGTGCATTCATGAAAGGTACCACCACCGACAACCCAGCCTTCCCTGCACCTATTTTGTGCATCTGTTCGGGTTGACCAGCTCAGTTCTCCATTCCTCCACTTCTCACCTGTTTTCCACACCCCATTTCCCTGTCTTACTTTTCCTGAGTCCCATCCCTGGAAGTCTTAGCTGAGTGCCTTCTCTGTCCCTGGCAGCGGTGGAGCTGGCTCGACTGGCATTCCCAGTGGAAGTGGTGAGACTGGAAGAGGCGTGGGGGGATCATCTGGTGCAGCAGAAGCAGCTCGATGCAGCCATTAATCACTACATTGAAGCCAGGTAGAGGGGTGCAAAGGAGATTGGGCATGAGGTCCAAGGTAATGGGGCAAGTAAGGGCACCAAGGCCTACAAGAGAGGTGGCAAAATGCAGGGTGGAATAGACGTGAGGTGTGTCCCTGCCTCTGTCTGTCTCCCTCTTGCGCACACACACGGATGCCTTTTCCAACTGTGCCAGGTGCTCTATTAAGGCGGTTGACGCTGCCCTGGGCGCCCGTCAGTGGAAGAAAGCCGTTTATATATTAGATCTCCAGGACCAGAGCATTGCATCCAAATACTACCCCCGCGTGGCCCAACACTATGCAGCTCTGCAGGAGTATGAGGTGAGGAAAGTCCCTTCCTGGAGCCGGAAGCAACGCAGTACAAGCTAACAAGAGGAGAACCTAGAGCAGGGAGTGGGGGGCCCCTCACCAAATCCTTCCTTCTGGGGCCCAGTAGCACCAGCCATCCTGAGCTCCATCAGAGTTCCAATAGAGAATTGCCTTGTGTTGCAGAAATGCAAGGTCCTTTTAAACTGCTATTGTATTGTCCCCATTCTGGTGTTTTGTTTTTTTCCAAAACAGTGGAAGGTGTGAGACACCATAGCCCTCTTTTCTTCTCTGTTGTAGACTAACAGTCTCCCTGGCTCTCTTCCATCCTGGCTGAGGTTTGCTCTTCCCCCTGCAGGCCGCTTTAACTCTCTTGCTCTTGGCCTTCTGTATCCACCTCTCTCAACCACAGATTGCTGAGGAGCTCTACATTAAGGGAGACCGGACAAAAGATGCAATAGACATGTACACTCAGGCTGGCCGCTGGGAGCAAGCCCACAAGGTAGAGAGCGGGGTGGAATTCCTCAGAAAATTCCACCTCTCTGGGGGTGTTGCCACTTTCCCTGGGCTCTTATCTCCCCCCTTCACCGGTTCCGTGAAAGCCGAGGAGGACCAAGATAAAAAAGTCTGGAGAACTTTGATCCCTAGCCATAGGGAGAGGCAAGGATGAAGAGGCCCTTGTTCCCAAACCTGTAATCCTGAAGCAAGCAGAAGGGTTTGGGAGCTGGGGAGTCCCAAATACCCCTCCCCAAGCTCTAGTCACAGTGGCAACTTTGTTCCACGCCTGCACCCAGAACCCGGTGGGTACCGTGGGAGCAGGAACAGGTGCCCCAGCACAGGGCACCTCTGGCCTTTCTGCCTGAGCAGAATATAGTCCTGACTTTGCTCCTTATGGACTTGGAATTCCCTGGACTGACCAGGAAAGCAGCAGTATGCAAACTCCTATGGTTGTTGGGAGAGTTCAGAGTTGCTGAGAAAACAGGCGGCCCCCCAAGCCCCGCTTCCCTGGCCGCTCCACATATCCCTCTGCTTCCCTTGGAAACCGGTGCCAGAGGCACTCTGGCTCTGTGTGTCTGCACAGCTGGCAATGAAGTGCATGAGACCAGAAGATGTGTCGGTGCTGTACATCACCCAGGCTCAGGAGATGGAGAAGCAGAGCAAGTACCGTGAGGCAGAAAGGTGAGCCGCGGCTCCAGAGGAGGTGTGGAGGGGGATGGGGCGTCAGGGCTGCAGGCAGGGATGGGGCTGAGAGATCTCTTAGGAATGACTCTAGTGGCAGGAATCTGGGCCTAGGAGGCCCCGGGTGTATCTCCCCTCCCCAGGCTCTACGTGACAGTGGAAGAGCCTGATCTTGCCATCACCATGTTCAAAAAGCACAAGTTGTATGATGATATGATCCGCCTGGTAGGGAAGCACCACCCAGATCTCCTCGGTGACACACACCTACACCTGGGCAAGGTGAGCCCTTCTTTTGTCCTCGGCCGTCTCTTCTGCAAACAGGCTCTGCGTCCCCCGTGCTCCATCCTGACTCTCCCTTCCCCAGGAGCTGGAGGCTGAAGGCCGACTGCAGGAGGCTGAGTATCACTACCTCGAGGCTCAGGAGTGGAAGGCAACAGTGAACATGTACCGGTCCAATGGGCTTTGGGAGGAGGCCTACCGGGTAAGGAGCCCAGGTCACGCTGGGGATACGGCCGTCCCTCTTTCCCACTCCCAAGTGACTCATTCTGAACTGGTTGCGGCTATCTTTGAAAAATGTCCACACCGATAGGCAAAACTTCATGTACGGTATGAAGGGTCTGTGGACTACCTGAAGTCCATCCTTGGACCCTCAGCTGGTTAGCAGACCCCGAAACTTAGCCCTCTCCCTGTTCTAGTAGAAGGACCTGACCCTTGTCAAAGCTGAAGTCAGGTCAGAGGAGAGAAGGGAGCAGCCATGTGGCCCTGCATGGAAGGATTGCCAAATGGCTTTGCTTCACAGGTGGCCAAGGCTCACGGAGGAGCTAATGCCCACAAACACGTGGCCTATCTGTGGGCAAAGAGTCTGGGAGGAGAGTCTGCAGTTAGACTGCTTAATAAGCTGGGACTCCTGGAAGCTGCCATTGACCACGCCGCTGACAACTGGTGAGGCCCTGAGGCTTCTCTCCACTGGCCCCGTTCCAGACAGAGCCTCTGTATAGACAAGGAAAATTGCTGTAGCTAAGAAGCGTTTCTAAAAACTGAGGCAAGAGTGAAGAAATCCTTGGAAGAACTTGATGGAGAAGCAAGAATGAATCAGTAGCTCTGCTCCCGGGGGCTCTGAACGTGTTTAACGTTTAGCTGTTCTAAGGAGATGATGGAAAGACAGCAGCTTTTTTTTTCTTCTTCTTCTTTTTTAAAGAGACCTTCTTTTTAAGTAATCACTACACCCACTGTGGGGCTTGAACTCACAACCCCAAGATCAAGAGTCACTCATTGTCCCGAGTGAGCCGGCCAGGTGCCCCAGAGAGAACAGCTTTTAAAGCTAAAGTACACTAAGCCAGTAGCTTACTTCTGAGTAATGGAAGTGTGATTCCGTTAAATGCAAAAAGAGCTTTTCTTAAGCGAATGTTACAAAGACCAGGAATAATCCTCCATCAAGTCAGATTGCTGAGCGTAATCTTACTGTTTTTGAGAGACCCTTTTTTCTGCTAGTGTAGATGTGGCTCAGGTGGTGGAGAACCAGGCAGCCTTGCTCCCCAGGCAGAGTAGTGCTGTGAGGCTCACCATGGTCCCCTGCCTCGTGCCCATCCCCTTCCTTCATGTCCACTGGTCACAGGAAGCACAGGCTTTTCCAAGTGTCCCCTGATCCACGTCTTCCTTTATGTGTCTGTGTGCTTGTGTCACTTCATATGGATTGTCTTTTTTTTTTTTTAGATTTTATTTATTTATTTGACAGAGAGAGACACAGCGAGAGAGGGAACACAAGCAGGGGGAGTGGGAGAGGGAGAAGCAGGCTTCCCACTGAGCAGGGAGCCCGATGCGGGGCTCGATCCCAGGACCCTGGGACCATGACCTGAGCCGAAGGCAGACACTTAACGACTGAGCCACCCAGGCGCCCCATGGATTGTTTTCTTAATCTGTCCTTTTTCCTACCCCAGTCATTGCCCTTTCTGTTTTCTCTTGCCCTGTTTCTTCTCTTGTCTTATAAAATGAAAGTGTTGAGTAGACAAACCTTACCCACGCTTTCCATTTCAGCTCATTTGAATTTGCTTTTGAACTCTCCCGGCTGGCCCTCAAGCACAAAACCCCTGAGATACATCTCCGATACGCTATGTACCTGGAGGATGAGGTATGGATGTGATCCTTCTCCATTGCTTTTGACCTTGACCTCCTCCTGTCTCATGGCTGCCAGATGGCAATCTGCTTCTTACTGCGTGCGGCTGCCCTTCTGTCCCTATAGGGTAAATTTGAAGAGGCTGAAGCTGAATTCATCAGGGCTGGTAAACCCAAGGAAGCAGTCCTCATGTGAGTTACCCATAAATTCCTTACTCCTGTCCTCCCAAGTGCAGCCCCAGGACCTGGCATTGTCACCTTCACCTTCACTTGAACCTAGTCCCAATAAATTCCCTACCCCCTCAGTGACGGCTGTTTGCCTCCCACTGTTGAGGCCTCAGTCCTGTACTTAGCCTGTCCTGTGTCCTCATCTGGGAGCAGGTTTGTCCATAACCAGGATTGGGAGGCAGCTCAGCGTGTGGCCGAGGCCCACGATCCTGACAGTGTCGCCGAGGTGCTTGTGGGGCAGGCCCGGGGGGCCTTGGAGGAGAAGGACTTTCAGAAAGCAGAAGGACTGCTGCTTCGGGCCCAGAGACCGGGCCTAGCCCTCAATTATTATAAGGTAGGGCACCGGATTCAGGGCCATGAGGGGAGGGTGAGAGGGTATGAGAACCCACAGAGCACTACACTAACCCCCCAGCTACTAGGAAAGATCCAGGGAGTGGGCATTGTGTTGGGGGCGGGGAGGAGACAAGAAGAAGAGAGGTCCAAGGACCTAGGGATCAGTGGCCCATAGTACATAGCACCTGTGTAGCAGTGAGAAGCTGTCATGCCTGCCTCTGCCTTCCTGATCCCTGGAAATCTGAGCAGGAGGCTGGACTATGGAGTGATGCCCTGCGGATCTGCAAGGACTACGTGCCGGGCCAGCTGGAGGCTCTGCAGGAAGAGTATGAGCGGGAAGCCACCAAGAAGGGGGCCAGGTATGAAGCCAGGAAGCAGCAAGTGTCGGCAGGGCTGGAGGGTGGCTCACAAGGTATACACAGGGTAGGCCACGCTGCCCATCCTGTTCCCGGTCACGTGTACTCTCATCTCCTCAGGGGCGTGGAGGGCCTAGTGGACCAAGCTCGACAGTGGGAGCAGGCTGGAGAGTATAGCCGTGCAGTCGACTGCTACCTCAAGGTGCGGGACTCAGGCAGCAGCAGCCTAGTGGAAAAGTGCTGGATGAAGGTGAGGCCTGCTACACCCTTCCTGGCCCTCCGCTTCCCGGACCACACTCACACCCAGCATTCCTCTTCAGACATTCCTCTTTCCTCCTCTGCCTCTCATTTTCACTCAGGCAGCAGGTATCTGCTGAGTGCTTGCTAGATGCGAGAGCCAGAACCTCTGAAGGCTGTAAGAGGGGCTCTAAGGCAGAATCCTAACAGCCAGAAATTAGGGGAAGTTAGACCAACGTGGCTGAACTAATTGTGTATCTCAGTGAAAACTAAAGGATGTGATTTGAGGTGGAGTTCAGAGAAGGTGGAGTTCAGAGAAGCCCTCTATGGGCTGGAGGGGTCAGGGAGGCTTGAAGGAGAAGATCAGCCTACAACCAGAGCTGGAAGGGCAAATCCAGAGCCCAGAGCTGGGGCCAGATGGAGGCCATGAAGAAAGCAGAGGCTCCTCCTCTATACAAAAGCTCCTGAAAAGAAGCATCTAGCAGATTAAGCTAAGTCAGTATGTTTCATCAATCCCTAAGCAAATATATAATCACATTTTACTATCTTAGAAATTGGGTTGCATGTGAAGTTTTAAATGATGTATCTGCAGCACCTGGGTGGCTCAGTCGGTTAAGCCGCTGACTCTTGATTTCGGCTCAGGTCATGATCTCAGGGTTGTGAAATCTAGTTCTGCACTGGGCTCTGCGCTGGGCGTGGAATCCACTTGAGATTCTCTCTCCTTCTCCCTCTGCCCCTCCCCACTCGTGCTCTCTCTAAAACAAAAAATAAATGAGTCATCTTTGATTCAGAGAAATATGGTATTAGGATTTGTCAAGGGGGTGAGATTGATCAGCTACCTAAATAAAATGTTGGTGCAGTGATGCCCCTGCAGAATTCCCCTTGGGTTTCAGAGGCCTTGTAATTGAATAGCCCCTAATAGTTGGGGCGGCAGGGGTGGGGGAGGAAGTAGATAGAAGGACTGATGGTTATGCAAATTTAGCAAATTTAATCAGCAAGTGTTTATGAAGCATCTGCTATGTTTTACTCTGGAGCATTGTCTATTGGCATCTGTACATGACTATACCTTCTTGAGATGAGTCAACTTCCCGGATGGGAGACAAAACTTTGAAGGGTTTGGCAGGTAAAGAAAGTGAGGCAAGAATAGGTGGGGAAGAAACCAGGAGGATTTAGCACATAGACTGTAGCTAAAACAGACCATGTATGTGGAAATTAAAATTTGATGAGGATGTCAACATCACAGTGGAAAGAGTAAACTTACAGAATGCTCAGGTTTGTAGAATTACTGAGTTTTAGGGTTGGAAGGTATCTATCTCCAAGGTCATCTAGACCAGCACTGTCCTATAGAAATACAATGCAAGTCACAAAGGTAAGTCATACGTGAAAGTTTAAAATTTCCTAGTAGCTGCATTCAAATAAGTAAAAAGAGATACAAGAAAATAATTATATTTTACCTAATCAAATATATCTAAACTCATTTCAACATATAATCAATATTTTATTGGTTGATTTTTTTTTTTTTTTTTGACAGAGACATAGCAAGAGAGGGAACACAAGCAGGGGGAGTGGGAGAGGGAGAAGCAGGCCTCCTGTGGAGCAAGGAGCCCGATGTGGGGCTCGATCCCAGGACCCCGGGATCATGACCTGAGCTGAAGGCAGACGCCCAACGACTGAGCCACCCAGGCGGCCCTGGTTGATTTTTTTTTTAAGATTTTATTTATTTGAGTGAGAGTAAGAGAGCATGTGCGCATGCACTCACAAGCAGAGGGGAGGGGAAGCACGGAGGGAGTGGGAGAAGTAGATTCCCCTCTGAGCACTGACTCCAGGCTAGATCCCAGGCCCCTGGGATCATGACCTGAGCAGAAGGCAGACGCTTAACTGACTGAGCCACCCAGGCGCCCCTTATTGATTGATGAGATTATTGATACTACTTATTTTTCAATTTATTGAGATATTTTACATTCCTTCTTTCGTACTAAATCTGTAAAATCCAGTGTGTATTTAAACTGATAGCACATTGGGGCGCCTAAGTAGCTCAGTCATTGGGTGTCTGCTTGGGTCATGATCCCAGGGTCCTAGGATTCAGCCCCGCATCGGGCTCCCTGCTCGGCGGGAAGCCTGCTTCTCCCTCTCCCAATCCCCCTGTTTGCGTTCCCTCTCTCGCTCTCTCTCTCTAATAAATAAAATCTTTAAAAATAAATAAACTGATAGCACATCTCAGTTGGGACTAGCCGCATGTGACTAGTGGCTTCTATTCTGATGGTACAAATCTAGACCGTCACTCTTACAGGTGAGGAAACTGAGGCACAGAAAAGCCCAGCACAAATAGCTGCAGAATGCCTTCTTTCTCTACACCACATTACCAAGATTCTGTTTGTGACAAAGAACTTGAGAAACCAGTTTGTCCCAGGGCAGGCAGGACCAAACGCAGTGACCTCAGACAGCATAGAGAGTGTCTGACAGAGGAGCTGAGAGGAACAAATGGGTCTACCAATGGTCATTTCAAGGCTCTGAGGGACCGTGAGGCAGGCCTTGCCCAGGAGGGTAGAAGGTGAAGGAGAGTGCAAGAGAGAAAGTTGGCAACTGAAGGGAAAAAAACAGACCAGGCTGAGGACACACAGTGGTATTTGTCTCTCCTACCCGTTGTCATGTCTTGTTCCACCCCTCAGGCAGCTGAACTCGCCATCAAATTTTTGCCTCCCCAACGCAGTCTGGAAGTAGTTCGGGCTGTGGGACCCCAGCTGATTGGAATTGGAAAGCACAGTGCAGTAAGTAGGGTGCTGGGACAGAAAAGAAATAGATTCACGGAGAGGGTGGAATGGTGCCATCTACACCCAGGAGGGCATGTGGGGTGGGCCTCTTGGCAGGCGTGACCTGCAGTTCGTTCTGTGGAAATGGAGGAGAGATCGTCTCCACGCTCTGATTCCCCCACTGTGCAGGCTGCAGAGCTCTACCTGAACCTGGACCTAGTCAAGGAAGCGATCGACGCTTTCATCGAGGGTGAGGAGTGGAACAAGGCTAAGCGCGTGGCCAAGGAGTTAGATCCCCGGTAAGCTCCTGACCCCTTCTCTCCGGGAAGTTCTCTCACTTGCTTTTGTAAAGAGGAGGAAGAAGTTCTCATGGGAAGGGTGTGCATCCCGGGACTGTGTAGTGTTAGATCTCTGCACATCTTCACAGGTATGAAGACTACGTGGACCAGCATTATAAAGAGTTCCTCAAGAACCAGGGCAAAGTGGACTCGGTGAGACTCGCAGAGTGTTAGCAAGAGGCCAGACGCATGGAGGCTCAAGGGATTTTCTCCCTCCTCTCCCTGCTCATGTCATCTCTGTCCTCTTAACTCTGTCTTTTCCACTGATCCATAGCTGGTGGGTGTGGATGTGGTGGCTGCTTTGGACCTGTACGTGGAGCAGGGCCAGTGGGATAAGTGCATTGAAACGGCTACCAAGCAGGTACTGCTCTCTTCCTCCCATCCACAGCTCTCCTGGACATTTTCCCTTGGCTCCCCTTGCCCCAGAGCTGTCTCTCTCTTACTTCCTCCAAAGCCCAACCCCAAAGATCCCTAACCAGCATCAGAGAGTCAGTCTTCCACCCTTTTGAAACTGGAGTCAGAGGCCTAGCTGGGCTTGACTTACATAGGCCTTTGCCTCCTAAATAAATCCATGGCCTCAAGTTACCACCCCACCCTCTCTGCCTGGTCTTACTGATCCCAACCTCCTCATGCTTTTCCTCCATCTCTGGGACAGAACTACAAGATTCTGCACAAGTACGTGGCTTTGTATGCGACTCACCTGATCCGAGAGGGCGGCTACAGGCAGGCACTAGCCCTGTATGTGCAGCATGGAGCTCCTGCTAACCCACAGGTACCAGCCTGCTCCTCGGGGTGAATGTTCCCCAGGGAAATCCTTACCTTCTCCTCAAGAACCACCCATGCCCTTGGCAACTGTCTTCTCAAAGGATTCTTTTAGACAGCGTCATGCCCAGAGACCCCCACCAGCGTCTTCTGGAATGTACAGCCACTCAAGATTTATCATTTGAGGATACATTCAGCAACCTCCCCGTGCTCTTAGCTAACACAGGGAAGTCTTTCAGAGATGAATTCTGCACACACCTCTAGGGCCTTACTAACTTCCTTCAGAGACTAAACACTGCTCTCCTACCTGAGCACCACAGCTCAATGGGATATCAGCCCATTAACATGTGACTGCATTCGCGTGCACACATCTGTCTACACACAGACTACCAGCTGTAAGAAAGTTATTTTCTTACTCTTCTTTCTCTTCCTGAAAATGATCAACACTTTCTCCATCATTGTTCCCTAGCTCTTCCACACACACACTTACAGCCTGTATCCTCTTCGGCCCCACATGCACTTTCTCTTCTAGTTACCCCTTCTCACTCAGCTCTCCTTTCCCCACTACCCCTAGAACTTCAACATCTACAAAAGGATCTTCACGGACATGGTGAGCTCACCTGAGACCAACAGTGCTGAGGCCTATCACAACTGGGCTGATCTTCGTGACGTGCTCTTTAACTTGGTGAGGAAGTCAGGTCCATGACAGAGTGACAAGGCTACCCCACCTGTCCCTGTCCCCCTCTCTTCTTTCAGGCACATAAACATTTACTTTCAAATGGGCTGCACCTTTGTCCAGGTGGCCATGAGCTCTCCGGCACTCCTCCGACCCCTGATCCAGGTTGTGCTCTCTTCCTGCTCTAGTGTGAAAACCTGGTGAAGTCTAGTGAGGCAAACTCTCCAGCCCATGAGGAGTTTGAGACGATGCTGCTGATTGCTCATTACTATGCCACTCGCTCAGCTGCCCAGAGTGTCAAACAGCTGGTGAGATTGGGGGCTGGGTGGGGGAGAGCACTCAGTCTTACAGACACATCTTCCAATGTATGAAAATGAATGAATACAAGTTCTGGATTCTCAAACTTGGTCCACTTCTTTCCTAGCTTCTCTTCTATTTAGACAAATCTTCAACCCTCACTGAGGTGTTTTCCTTTCCGGACCCCTCCACTGACCTTCTTAGGACTCTGCCCACATAGCTCCAGCCTCATTATACTTAAACATTCAAATCCCACAAGTTCTGTGCTGATCTCTTACAACATACCCACTTCTTTGGCCGATTCGGGAGAGCATAATGTAAATTTATTGTGTATACTTAAATGATAAAAATAATCTAGGCCTAGTTCTCTCGTGCAGATGAAAAAAAACCAGAAGCGCTTGAGATCCAGAGCAATTTCATATGTATTACTGGTTTTTTGGTTCTCTGGCTGCTTTAGTTATAAGATCACTCGTCTGGTAGCTTAGTCGCTACAGTGCCAGGATCATAATGCTTTGACTTTAATCTGTAGGAAACTGTGGCTGCCAGGCTTTCTGTTTCGCTCTTACGCCATACCCAACTCCTACCTGCAGACAAGGCCTTCTATGAAGCAGGCATTGCTGCCAAGGTGAGCTGGGACAAGGAAGAGTGTGGCCGAGGACATAGGGAAATCAAAAGTTGGGAGGTAGACTATTCTGTCTACTCAGAGCAAAGCAGAATGTGGGGCTGATGATACGGAGGACATTGCTTTCTTGCGTCTTCCTGGATTCTTTCCCCTGCATCCTGGAGAAGCAGCATCCAAACCCAGCTGCTCACTCCCACCTGCAATTTTTCTCTGTTGCAGGCAGTTGGCTGGGAGAACATGGCATTCATCTTCCTCAACCGCTTTTTGGATCTGACTGATGTGAGTAGAGAAGTTGTGCCCTGAGGGTGGGAGGTTTTGCCTATCACAAGCTGTGTCTATCTCATGGCTGCCCACTCTGCCACAGGCAATCGAAGAAGGGACTCTGGATGCCCTTGACCACTCTGACTTTCAGGATACAGACATTCCCTTTGAGGTGCCACTCCCAGCCAAGCAGCACATACCGGTAAGAGTAGGAGATTGGAGAACAGGGAAGGCCTCACCGGTGTGAAGGCATTGTGAAGGGAGGACACTCTATCACTTTACGTTGGTCCTCCTGACCTTTGTAACGGGCATCAGCTGGCAACATCTTTGGAAGGGCCTCAGCCCTCACTATTCCTTCAGTGAAAGTAGAAGCAGAGAAAAAAGAAAACTAAGGTGGTGACCATGAACCCCATCCAAGGAGGATCATGTATGGGTAAAAGATGATGCACAGGACAACAGTTAAGTAAGACTTCAAACTCCCCACCTTCCACTTGCCCTGCCCTGCGTGAAGCTGCTGCTCCTTCTGTCCTTCCCAGGAGGCTCAGAGGGAAGAGGTTCGAGACTGGGTACTCACAGTCTCAATGGACCAGCGGCTGGAGCAGGTTTTGCCTCGGGATGAGCGTGGTGCCTACGAAGCTTCCCTGGTGGCAGCGAGCACTGGAGTTCGGGCACTACCCTGCCTCATTACAGGTACAGAACTCTACAGCAACCCACGTTCTGTGGTGGGTGGAAAGGAAGGGAAAACCGCAGGATGAAGAGAGTATTTTACTCCGAAATTGCTCTTGGTTTTCCCCCTAAAATGCCCGTTCATCTTTTTTTCTTCCCCCACAGGATACCCCATTCTGAGGAACAAAATTGAATTTAAGCGGCCAGGGAAGGCAGCTAACAAGGACAACTGGAATAAGTTCCTCATGGCTATCAAGGTTAGAGAGGGAGACTTGGAGGGTGGGGGCAGGGAGAGCAGCACTGAAGGAAAATAAGAAACTACTAGAAGGGTGGGTGGAAATGTCAAGAAGGCAGGTGCCGGCCCTGAACTCTGCTCTCCCTACCAAGATGGGGTTGATTTTAAGAAGGAATGCTTTTCCTTAGCACTAATGCGTTCCTTTCTTGTTCTTCTGTTTGTCCATAGACTTCCCACAGTCCAGTGTGCCAGGATGTGCTGAAATTCATTAGTCAGTGGTGTGGAGGGCTACCCAGCACCAGCTTTTCCTTTCAATAACTGGCAGGGCTCAGGGAAGAACTCTTGGATTTTCTCCCTCATTAAAGTCTTGTAGGTAGTGGAGACCGCTGTGTTCTTTGAATAAAGTCATCCCCAACATCAGCCTAGTGCCCTTTTCCCCGGAAAAGGAATCATCAAGTAGAAGAAAACAGTTCTTTTATTACAACTGTTTACATCATCTTGGGGTTTATGTCACCGTTGTGAACTGAGCCTCTGGATCAGCACCTGCTCCACAGAACGGACAACCTGGGTCAGAGGGCAAGCAGCACAGCAAAGGACTTGACCCAGTTCTAAGAGTGGTTCCCTGCCTCCACCCTTTCCCTGGCCCCAATTCTCACGGATTACCTGTCCTAAGCCCAGCTTTTCTGGGATGCCTGCATTTCTTGATTTTGATCCAGTAGCTGCTCATTTTCCTGTCTTTTACACTTAGGAAGTTCAAGCTCTGTCAGTTCCTCTAGCTGTAGGGGAGGATGGAGTTAGTACTCCTGCCCCGAGGAGCAGCACTTTTTCAACACAGCCAGTCCGTGTTGAATGAGCCCTTCCTGTTCCTCTCGCTTACCTGCTCCTGAAGCCCTTCCTTCCTGCAGGGCCCAGCCCCACGCAGGGTGAGTGCGGCCACACAGCAGTAACCAGACAGGGCAGCCTCCGCTGCAGACATGAGCAAAGAAGGGATCCAGAGAGCCAAGGCTGTATCCTACAAGGCGAAGAGGAAAGGGGGGGCCACTGAGAGGGAGCAGGACAGGAAGTAGGCAAGTAGGGGTGGTTGAAAGGGCCAGGGCCAAGGCCCTGGAGACTGCAAAAAGGCTGAGAAGAGCATGCACTCACATAGATTCTTGTGGGGTCAAATGGGCAGTCAGCCCGTCCAGGCCCCTGGTCCAGCGGTAGCAAAGGATTCAGCAGTCCTGGATGGCAGTCAGCAATCAGACGGCGGCCACCGTTGGCCACAGTGAGTGACACAGCAAGGAGGAGGCCCAGGGAGCAGGCGGCGGACAAGAGCAGGTTCACCAGAGCTACCACCAGCAGGGCCCAGTGCTGGCAGGGGCAGAAGATCAGGGTGAGCAGCTGGGCGCGCCGGCTGCCTCTCTCACTATAAGGCACCTTGGTTTCTGTTTGAGGTTCCTCCCACTTAAAGATGAAACTGAGTCGGGTCTTCATTTCCCTGACCCCAAGCCTCATTAAAGCTCCAGAAATCCCCTCTCACCAGTCGTGGGCGCAGAAGGTTCCTGGATGCCAAGAGGGCCACAAGTCCCACGGAAACACTCTGGAAGACACAAAGCCTGAAGGCCGCGCCGCTCTACGCCCCGCCTCCCCTCCCCCACGCCCGCGGTCCCGCCCCCCGCCGCCCTCACCAGCAGCCCCGAGCCCACGGAGATGACATTGGCCGTGGTGTACTCCGGGGTGACGGCGCCGCGGGGATTGGCCACGTGTCGCAGGACTGTGCCGTGCAGCACGGCCCCCAGAAGCAGGTTCATGTGGCCCACCAGGATCAGCGCGAGGCCCACGCGCATAAGCCGCCGGGGGCCGCGGGCCGCGTCTGCAAAGCACGGGGGGAGGGGCAGGCGTGAGCCGGGAAAGGAACCGGACGGCCCCTCGTGGCCGCCGCCCTCGCCGGTGAACCAGGGGCTGTGGGGCGGGTGGCCGGCGGACGCAGGGGACCGAGCCCGGGGCCGGAAATTACCGAATCTGTAGAGGCGGCAGCACCTCATCGCGGCCCTCCGCGCGCCGCCGCCGGGCAGCTCTCTCTACCTGGCCCCGGCCCCGCCCTCGCTCTCCCCGCCAGCCCCGCCCGCTCGCCACCTGAAGGCGCAGCCCCGCGCGCGCCCCAGGCG